TATTTGTTAGGATCAAACACACCCAAAAAAGAATTATCTCACACACACAGAGAACACAATATTTACGTGGTTCGGCCCAATGCCTACATCCACGGATAGAAACGAGAAGTTTTCACTAAAATGGAGCAAAATACAAATACAGAGAAAACTCACTCAACTCACAGCTCTCACTCTCCAATTTCTGATGATTTCCAACCCCTCCTCACTCATCTCAATTTATAACCAAGAGAGGAGGAGTAGGTGAAGTGATAGCCATAATTGGCCAAGGTGGTGCCACCCTCACTATCTTCCTTTAGTGAGTTGGTGTTGCCCTCCACCAGCTTCTTTTACCACATGGTGCCACCCACACCATGTGGATGGTGGGCTCCTTACCATGTGGGTAGTGGATGGAGCCAACAAGTTCTACCTCAAGTGTTAATGGTTCCTCTAGTGATGTATATAGATGAGGAAAGTTTGATCCTTTCATTCTTTACTTCTGATTTCGATTGTCAACTCAATTCAGGCATGAGATTGTTGGTGTTGTGACTGAGATCAGGTGCAAGGTTCAAAAGTTCAAAGTTGGGGACAAAGTTGGGGTGACGGGCCAGGTTGGAGCATGTCACTCATGTGACAACTGCGCCAACAATCTTGAAAATTACTGTCCCAAACTGATAGAGACCTACAATGGCACCTACCATGATGGAACAACCACATATGGAGGTTACTCTGATCACATGGTCACTAATGAGCATTACGTGATCCGCATTCCTGAAAACATGCCTCTTGATGCTGCTGCTCCTCTCCTCTGTGCTGGGACCACAACTTATAGTCCCTTGAAATATTTTGAACTTGGCAAGCCTGGTATGCATGTGGGGGTGGTGGGTTTAGGCGGCCTTGGCCATGTGGGTGTGAAGTTCGCAAAGGCTTTGGGGGCTAAGGTGACTCTGATTAGTACATCGCCTAACAAGAAGAAAGAAGCCATTGAACATCTTGGTGCTGATTCATTTTTGGTCAGTCAAGACTCTGATCAGATGCAGGTAACAATTTTTCTGTTTTATGTTGTTACGGACAAAATTTACTTTATAGAATTTCTCTTACATATGTACTGGTTGACTGGTTCTTATGTTGCCATTTTGAATGTGAATAGGCTGCCATGGGGACAATGGATGGTATCCTTGATACAGTATCCGCAGTTCACCCTCTTCTACCATTGCTTGGTCTACTGAAGTCCCATGGAAAGCTTATCGTGCTTGGTGCACCAGACAAGCCACTGGAGCTACCAGTCTTTCCTCTGCTTATGGGTATACACTTTGTCATTACTAATTTGTTATATTCATTCAAAGTAGGTAGAAACCAAAATTGCCCCGTGGAAAGCATATCTAACATGGAATGTGTAATGACAGGGAGGAAGTTGGTGGCTGGAAGTCTTACTGGGGGGTTGAAGGAGGCACAAGAAATGATTGATTTTGCAGCTAAACACAACATAACAGCAGATATTGAGGTCATTCCTATGGACTATGTAAACACTGCCATGGAACGTCTTACAAAAAGTGATGTCAAATACCGGTTTGTCATTGATGTTGCCAATACTTTGAAAGCTATCTAGTTGGCCAATATAGCTCCTGAACTTTTGGCATTTTTGATACTGCCTGATGGTTTATGTATTAATATGTAATTGCTTTAGAGTATAGATGCTCTTGTATCCAAAGAAAAAACAGTTCAGGTACTTGTATCATCTGTTTTCTGTTGCTGGTGTCACAGCTTATGATACAGCGGTATTGTGTAATATCTCAGTTTGAAAACATAAATAAAAGTTTGAGTGGTAAAAGTCTCTTACCTTCAATAGAGAAAGCAGTTGATCTGCTCACTTGAGCGGACACGCTTTGGCATTCTCCACTCCACTGCTAATCCATCTATTGAAATGGCACGTTGCATTTGACCAATCGTGCGGCCTAGGACCTGCTTGAGCGGGTTGCTCAGGATCAGGCTCCACCTCCACATCAGTTCCATCTTTCATTTTTTTTTCATGTCTCCTCTCGTCGAGCCCTTAGATGACTAACTGACAAGCAGATCATAAAACATCAAATATCAATAAAATCAGAACTTTTTTTTATTGTTTCTGCAGGTTACTGTAATGGAATTCAGGCATGAGATTCTGGAGATGGTCCAGTGGAAGAATACAAAGTAACAAGAAAAGCAAGTAGGCTAGCAAATTCAAAAAAGTTACACATCAACAAAAAAGAAAAAAAATGCAAATTGTACAAAACTTATGATTTTTTGTGGTAAAATTTATCAATGTTGTGGTATGCGTATGTGTTATGTTACTTCATAGTAAAATTACAAATAATAAATTTATAGTATGCATTCTAAAGTTATGACACTCCTGTGGTTTTTATTATGATATTTTTTTTATGAAAGAAGTTATATGACATTTTGTGATTTATGTTATGAAATTTTATAAAAAAAAAAAAATTATGAAAGACATACTGCATACACTTTTTGAGGAACGCATATAGTAATCTCTCCCAAAAAATAGAAATAAAATATCTATTAAAGATGCTCTAATTGGTTCTAAAGCCTATAAGGATGTATCAATATTAAAAAATATATATTTATAAAATATTCATATAGAATGATGGTTCATTAGAACTTTTGTAGCTTTGTTTTTTTATAGTATTCAAGCTATTAGATTGAATTTTTATCATAAAATATTCATCCTAATCACATGCAACAAAATATATAATTGTCCTTTTTGTTTTTTTTTTTTGCTCTTTGATACCAATTTGCTTTTCACAATTAATTATACTGCGAAGAGGTTAGCACAACATTAACGAATTAAAACTAACTTACTTCAACAGTTACGTCAGAGAAGCAGTGCCAGGTTATAAGAAAGGGGTAAACTGATAAATTTGAGAGTAGTTTTTTTATTTTCTTATTTTTTTTTTCAATTCAGCTTACAATGTGGCCCGGAAAAATATGGTTCAAGTGGCTCGAAATACTCAAAACGACAACGACGTCGTTTTGAGTGTAAAACGACGTCGTTTTAACACATTCGAACCATTCAAGTCACAGAAATTTAGGTTACCAAATATTTTCCTTGAGCTTATGGTTATTATCATTAATAACTTAGTTATAGGGTTTTAATTTCAATAATAAGGTTTCAAATTTTCTGAAATTGGTGGGAAAATTTTTTCTGATGGCGCCGCCGCTTACTTCAGCAATTACGTCAGCCAATTGCCATGCCCCACATCTATAGGTAAATAAATAAATACCCATACATTTGATCACATACTCTTCATCATCTTCTCTCTGAGTTTCTCTGAATATCTGCTTTCGCTAGTAGAAATTGGTGGTGAATTAATGGGGAAATCGGCAGGGGAAGAACACGCAGTGAAGACATTTGGATGGGCTGCCAGAGACCAGTCCGGCCTACTTTCTCCCTTCAAATTCTCAAGAAGGTTTTTTCTCAATCACATTCCATCTTCTTTGATTCTCTTTCTCTCTTTTTGCTACTTTATAATTCAGGCAATTTGTAAGAAAAAAAAGAAGTGAGTTCTCTGTTATACATACACCATACAAACATTTATACTTGTTCGTTCGTTATTTCGTGCTCATTCGTGATCTATGATGGTGATGAGTGAAGTTTGATCTATATATATAATGTAATTGTGCATATGATATGATGTTGCAAGGAAACCGGGGATGAAGATGTGAGGTTTAAAGTGTTGTATTGTGGGATCTGTCACACTGACCTTCACCGAATTAAAAACGACTGGGGTGGCTCCATTTACCCCCTCCTCCCTGGGTATTCTCTCTCTCTCTCTCTCTCGCTATATATATATATATGTGTGTGTATATATATGTACATTTGAAATATTGATTCTTGTATGGCTTTTTTATCAATTAGCAGAGTTGTCAATTAGTTTGTTTGGAAAAATAATATAGCCCTTAGAGCATCTCCAACCAAATCTTCAAATATAAAGTTTGATATCCTCAAATTTGACTTCTCTAAAAGTAAACTTTCCATCCAATATGTTAAATTTATTGTTTTATTATAACTTTTACTTTAATTTTATTTATTTATTTCAGTTTGTTTTAAATTGTTTTAGAAAACCACACACACAATAAGCAATGCAAAAAATAAAAATAAAATTGACATCTGGGCCGCCGTATGTCAAATTTGATATGGGGAAGGCAATGCCAAATGCCACTTAGGCAAACGACCTTTTAGTTGGAGCTTGTAGAGATGTCAAATATTACTTTTTAAGTTCCTATCTAAGATTTATCGTATTGTTTGGAGATCCTCCAAATTATTTCCAACTCAATTTTCAAGTGCTTCAACTCAAATGAAGGGCAATAACAACAATTAAAGAAAGTATCCATTTTGACACTGATGCTGACAAATTGAAGATGGACCAAGTTTATATGGAACTTTTGGAATGAAACTTTTGAGGTAACACAGGGAAAGTTAGCCAATTAATGAAGAGAAATATTGATGGTGCTGGTTCTCTAGTTAATCATCTGGATGTATAAAGATGAGGAAATTTTGATCCTTTCGTTCATTGCTTCTGATATTTCTGTAATCAACTAAATTCAGGCATGAGATTGTGGGTGTGGTGACTGAGGTCGGGAGCAAGGTTCAAAAGTTCAAAGTTGGGGACAAAGTAGGGGTGGGGACCCTGATTTGAGCATGTCACTCGTGCAACAGCTGTGCCAGTGATCTTGAAAATTACTGTTCCAAAAAGATATCGACCTTTTATGGCACCTACCATGATGGAACAACCATATATGGAGGCTACTCTGATCACATGGTCACTAATGAGCATTATGTGGTTTGCATTCCAGAGAACTTGCCTCTTGATGCTGCTGCTCCTCTCCTTTGTGCTGGGATCACAACTTACAGTCCCCTGAGATATTTTGAACTTGACAAGCCTGGAATGCATGTGGGTGTTGTGGGTTTACGTGGCCTCGGCCATGTGGGTGTGAAGTTTGCAAAGGCATTTGGTGCTAAGGTGACTGTGATTAGTACGTCACCTAACAAGAGGAAAGAAGCTATTGAACATCTTGGTGCTGATTCATTTTTGGACAGTCGAGACCCTGATCAAATGCGGGTAACAAATTTTTTTGTTTGTGTTGTTATGGACTTCAAATTTACTTTCTAGAATTTCTTCTGCATGTAGAAGTTCTTATGTTGTTATGTTGAATGTGCATAGGCTGCCATGGGCACAATGGATGGTATCCTTGATATAGTATCTGCAGTTCACCCTCTCCTACCATTGATTGGTCTGCTGAAGTCTCATGGAAAGCTCATCATGCTTGGTGGACCAGACAAGCCATTGGAGCTACCAGTCTTTCCTCTGCTTATGGGTAAACATTTGACATTACTAATTTGTCATATTCATTTAGAATAGGTAGAAACCAAAATTGGCTGTTGGAAACCTGTAACCTGGAATATGTAATGACAGGGAGGAAGTTGGTGGCTGGAAGTGCCTGTGGGGGGTTGAAGGAGACGCAAGAAATGATCAATTTTGCAGCTAAACACAACATAACCGCAGATATTGAGGTTATTCCGATGGACTATGTGAACACTGCCATGGAACGTCTTGCAAAAGGTGATGTCAAATACAGGTTTGTCATTGATGTTGCCAACACTTTGAAAGCTGCCTAGTTGGCCAATGTGGCTCCTGAATTTTGGTTTATTTTGATACTGTCTGATGGTTGATGTATTAATAAGTAGTTGCTTTAGAGTTTAGGTACTTTTGTCCCCAAAGAAAAAAAAGTTCTAGTACTTGTATCATCTGTCTTCTGTTGCTGGTGTCACAGCATATGATGCGACAATGTGTCGTATCTCGGTTTGAATACATAAATAAAAGTTTGAATTGTAAAAGTTTGCAATCTTGGAAATAGTGAATCAGTTTTTCTTACTCATAGTTTGACGATGGAATTCCACATGAATCAAGTGTTAAATGTAGGGAGTAATCAGTCAAGTCTTCCATATATGTTTTAAATTGAAATCCCGAAGATGATCTACAACATAACACAGAATAAACATAATTAAGACACTATGATAGGAAAACATGGGCAAATTTTAAATTTGAGGTTGTCTAAATGCACCTCAGAAAGGAAACGAAAGAGTCTTTTAAGGTTTGCTGACATTTTTCATCCCTGTATTATTGCATATTGTTTGCTCACTTTTAAAGCAGTCAATGAAGCTCATTTTTTGTTTGTTTTCATTTTGACTATAATAATCTTTCCAAGTTGACACTTGACACCAAACCTGTATTCGTCTGCAACTCAATTTATGTCGACACTGCAACCAGTGCTCATGAAGAAATATGACAAAATTTCCTTTGTAAGGTGTTTTTGGTTGACAGAATTGGAATTGGTATTATGGATGGTAACAATTTGGTGTGGTGTCAGAAAATGGTTGGGGGGAGGAATATTGTAATAACTCCATCATCATCATCATTGATTGAGTTGGTGGCAGTGGCTGTGACAGTTAGTCATGGTGGTGGTGATGATCGTAGAGTGCGATGATCAGATGCTGCTAGTGGAAGTAGAAATGGCAGCAATGGTGATGATGGTTACTGCTGTGGTCGTTGGAATTGTTCTTAAGAATTTTAGTATTTTTTTTTTGGATACACTCGAATTTTGTAAATCACTATGTTATGGAAATTCAAATCTTGAACTTGGGCAGATCTACTTTTCATTCTGATAACTTCACCACTTTTGATATGCTCAGGACTTATTGTCCAAACTAAATGAAACATCAATGTGATCCTAGGACAACAACCAACCAGTCTCTTTTCCTTGATAAAGTATTGCTGCACACAAGTGGTGGCTCCAATAATTTTGTACAATGGGCGTCGTTCAAATTTTCTTTTCCTCACAAATTTAATTATCTACACATACAAAAAAACATAATCTCAAATTGATTCAAATTCAAAACAAATCTCATCACACATCCTGCTCCATGCACAAGAATTCGGCATTGCACAATAAATCTTAATAAGTGAATGAAATTTCCTTTCCATGTCACAGACTAATAATTCAATGTTAATGCAGTGTATTTGGCCTTGCAATTGTTGAAACAAATGAACAGGTACATGGGAAAACAAAGCAATCGGCACTAGTAGGAAGCAAGCAACAAGTGCATACAATTACCCAAAGTATTGAAAAATATGATAGAAATTAGGATCCATCGTTTTGCAATCGATTGTTTTGCCATGGACCCCAAAGGTTTTTGGCCAATTCATTTGTTTAGGGTAACAACTTTGCAAATTTGCCCATTTTATAAAGATTTAAATTTTCAGTTACTTTTGAGAGAGATAAACAAACTTCGATATTTTAGAGAGTCAGTTCACTTGAAAAAATATTGGACGTGTTAGTGGCACCATCCTACGTAATTTACTAATCAATAAGATAATTATTGTATTTAATATTTATTTTGCTTGAAGAGTTGATTTTATAGATTTGATTAATGGGTTAGGCTAGAGATTTCAAATTATTTATCAAATTTTCTATCAAACCTATACTCATGTGAGAGGTTTGATAGAAAATTTGATAGATCATTTGGTGTCTTTAGCATTTTTTTGGATTAATTATGGGTCCATTTGGAAAGCCGCTTTTAACTCATTTTGAATCACATCACCTATTATATTTTTTACAACTACATTACATACCCCCAGTGAGGTGGCGAGCCCCCACTGGCTGAAACTCAAAATAAATAAATAAATAAATAAAATAGTTTTTTTTTTGTCCAATCACGGCGCGCCACCTCAGTGGGGGTCCGAAGCATTTTTCATATTTTTTATTTATAAAAAGACAAAAAAATTAAAAAATTAATTTTTAACCAACTTTATAAAACATTCTATGATAAATTGTGCTTAGATTTATAATTTGCCAAGAGATTTTTCGAGGGCTAGAAAAAGTGAAGTTAAACTTTCTTCCGCCTGTGTAATTTATCCTCACTAAAGTCAAGCACAGCTGCCTTCTGTTTGAGTGAGTTGTCTCACAATTTGTATGAAAATAATTTTTGTATTTTTTTTTGATGAATAATAATCAGTGTGTTTGGTTTGAGTTTTCTGGATTAAGTTTTTTGAAAATTGACTTTTTTGGTTTTCGTGTTTTTTTTTTGTTTTTAGTGAATATTTTTTAAATTTTAAACATTTTTTTTTTACTTTTTTAGATGTACCTTACTTAGATGTATCTAAAAAATAAAAAATTTGTGAAAAATATTTTAAAAAATTAATAAATACATAAAAATATATAAAATTCAAAAAAATGTACTGAATTCTTATATTTTTTTTATATTTTTGGTATTTAGTGAATTTTTAAAAGATTTTTTTTATAATTTTTTTACTTTTTAGGTGTATTTATGTTAGGTGTGTCTAAAAAGTAAAAAAATTGCATAAAATATTAAAAATATTCAGTAAAAACAAAAAAACACGGAAAATAAGAGTGTAGAATTTTCTGAAAACTGTTTTTAAAAAATGAGAACCAAGCAAAGTGAATATGTTTCATCATCATCAACAAATCAATATGTATACACAGATTTAAATTAAAAAATATATATATAATCTGAAAAAAAGAAAATCTGTTTTCAAAAACAGTACTACAAAGACAGATCCGAGTACACAGATCAGATCACATAGAGAGAGAGAGAGAGAGATAACAGATCTAACAGATTTGAGCGACGCCAATGACCAAGCGCGAGATCAACAGTGGCTAGCTATGGCGGTGGGTTCGGTGGTAGTGACAGAGAGACAAACCTTCTGCGGCGGTAACGGTGGCGGTGGCAGTGGCGGTGGCAGTGAAGAATAGAGAGAAACGAAGTGGAGAGAGAGAGAGAGAGAGAAACCAATGTGAGAAGAAAAGAGAGAGAGGAGGTCGGGCCAACGGTAGTGGTGGTGTCACCGTGTCGATGACTGTGAAAATGAAAGAGTTAACAGAGAGAAGAACGAGAATTGAGAGAGAATGAGGGAGAAAAGAACGAAAGACAGAGAGTTAAGAGAGTGAAAGAGAGACGAACGAGAGAGTGAAAAAGTGAGATGAGAGTCAGAGTGAGAGATATATGAAAGTGAGAGATATAAAATTATAATACAACTAATAGGTAGTATTTACGCGAGGAAGCTTCGGACAAATTTCGGGGCGGGGTCAGGGCCAAGAAATTAATCCCCGTCCCCGGCCCGAAAATCATCGAGGATGTATTTTTCAATACTAGCCCCAGTCCTATGGGGAATAATTTTCGGGAAAAAAACTATTCATTGGGACGAGGCGGTCCGGGTCCCCGTCGGGCCGGGTTGATATTGCCATCCCTACTCTCCCACAGGTCCTAAACAACGCCCTTTGCAGAGATTACCAAGGTGTCCTGTTATCCATTTTGAGTAAGAGGACTATAACTTGGGAACTTGTCCGTCCTAAGTAGTGCCCCTTGCAGAAATTACCAAGGTGTTCTATTGTCTGTTCCGAGTAAGGAGACTATAACTTGGGAACTTGTCCCAATCTCCCAAAATAAGTTTCGCTTAAGTCAAGACTCTCGCAGCGGGGGAGTATTATGCCCACACCAAGTACTATGGTAACAACAACTTGAGACTAACCTCCTAATCAATTGCGCTACGCTTAAGAAATTAGCCCAAGAAATGTCGAATTCAAGATCCCTGTCTCTCTGTATGTATTTATGTATTTCGGATAAATTACAATACATCCTATTATTTTGATTTAATTCCCATCAAGTTTTATTAAAAATAAATTCTAGTAAAATCGTCGCTAAAAATAATTTTTTTGTGATGATTTTTTATATCTGTCGCTAAAAATTGACAATTAGCAATTTTTTTTTGTCACGGTTTTCATAAAATGTCGCTAAAATTTATAATTAGTGTCGTTTTTCTATGACAAAATTTTCAAACTGTCGTTGAAAGTTGTAAATTAGTAACTTTTTGTGACGATTTGTTTAAACTGTCGCTAAAATATATAATTACTGACATTTTTTATAACAATTTTCAAATTGTCACTGAAATTAACAATTAGTGAAATTTTTTAATAGCGTTTGATAAAAAAATGTCGTTACTTATCATTGGACCTATTAGACAATAAGTCCACATATTAAGACCTGCACGTAAGTTCTCTAAACTATCAATAGGTCCTATTAATTGAACTTAATTCTCATCAAATCCTATTGAAAATAAGTCTTAGTACAATCGTCACTAAAAATAATTTTTTGTGACAATTTTTTACATACGTCGTTAAAAATTGACAATTAGTGGCTTTTTTATCATTTTTTTTTATAAATTGTCACTAAAATTTACAATTAGTGACTTTTTTTGTGACAAATTTTTCAAACTGTCATTGAAAGTTAAAAATTAGCGACTTTTTTTGTAATAATTTTTTAAACTGTCGCTAAAACTTATAATTAGCGACTTTTTTTTGTGACAATTTCTGAATCGTCGCTAGAAATTAACAATTAGTGATGTTTTTTAATAGTATATGATGAAAAATGTCATTAATTATCATAGAACCTATTGGGCAATAAATCTACTTAGTAGGATCCACACGTAGTCACACTATATATAATATGTATACATGTGAAATGTTGATTCTTGTATAGCCAATTTATCAATTAGAACACATGCAATCAGAGTTGTAAGTTAGTTTGTTTGGCAAGCGCTAATAGCCAATTGTTGGGTGCTTTGGACTGAAAATAAAAAGAAATAGAAATCTTAATCACTTGTTTGGAAATATATATATATATATTTATATTAATAAAAAAAAAAACAAAGGGAGTGAGGTGAGGTTTAAATGGGGAGGAAATACTTTTCCAGCTCATTTCTATCTGCTTCAACTGAAATGAAGGGCAAAAATATAAAAATAAAAAAGAAGAAGAAAAACTCATCCATTTTGACACTTATGCTGACAAATTGAAGTCGGACCAAATTTATAGGGAACTTATGGAATGAAACTTTTGAGGTAGCAGAAAGGGAAAGTTAGCCAATTAACGTACAGAAATGTTGCAAGAGCTGGTTCTGTTGTTTCCTTGTTTTTAGTCTCTATTTCTAACATGAAAAAACAACCAACTAGGTGCCTTAAATTGGCCATGAAATTGCTTTTGCAAATGAAACCAAGCTCAAATTTAACACCCATATCATTTCGCTGCACATAACAATGCCAATTCTACCTCTACTCTTATTGGTCCCTCTTCTAGTTAATCTGGATGTGTATAGATCAGAAAATTCGGATAAATTACAATACATCCTATTACTTTGATTTAATTCCCATCAAGTTTTATTAAAAATAAATTCTAGCAAAATTGTCGCTAAAAATAATTTTTTTGTGATGATGTTTTATATATGTCGCTAAAAATTGACAATTAGCGATTTTTTTTTGTCACGGTTTTCATAAAATGTCGCTAAAATTTATAATTAATGTCGTTTTTCTATGACAAATTTTTCAAACTGTCGCTGAAAGTTGTGAATTAGTAACTTTTTGTGACGATTTGTTTAAGCTGTCGCTAAAATTTATAATTACTGACATTTTTTATAACAATTTTCAAATTGTCACTGAAATTAACAATTAGTGAAATTTTTTAATAGTGTTTGATAAAAAAATGTCATTACTTATCATTGGAACTATTAGACAATAAGTCCATATATTAAGACCTGCACGTAAGTTCTCTAAACTATCAATAGGTCCTATTAATTGAACTTAATTCTCATCAAGTCCTATTTAAAAATAATTTTTTGTGACAATTTTTTACATACGTCGTTAAAAATTGACAATTAGTGACTTTTTTTATCATTTTTTTTTTATAAATTGTCACTAAAATTTACAATTAGTGACTTTTTTTATGACAAAATTTTCAAACTATCGTTGAAAGTTAAAAATTAGCGACTTCCTTTGTAATAATTTTTTAAACTGTCGCTAAAACTTATAATTAGTGACTTTTTTTGTGACAATTTCTGAACCGTCGCTGAAAATTAACAATTAGTGATGTTTTTTAATAGTATATGATGAAAAATGTCATCAATTGTTATAGAACTTATTGGACAATAAGTCTACTTAGTAGGACCTACACGTAGTCGCACTATATATAATATGTATACATGTGAAATGTTGATTCTTGTATAGCCAATTTATCAATTAGAACACATGCAATCAGAGTTGTCAATTAGTTTGTTTGGCAAGCGCTAATAGCCAATTGTTGGGTGATTTGGACTGAAAATAAAAAGAAATAGAAATCTTAATCACTTGTTTGGAAATATATATATATATATTTATATTAATAAAAAAAAAAACAAAGGGAGTGAGGTGAGGTTTAAATGGGGAGGAAATACTTTTCCAGCTCATTTCTATCTGCTTCAACTGAAATGAAGGGCAAAAATATAAAAATAAAAAAGAAGAAGAAAAACTCATCCATTTTGACACTTATGCTGACAAATTGAAGTCGGACCAAATTTATAGGGAACTTATGGAATGAAACTTTTGAGGTAGCAGAAAGGGAAAGTTAGCCAATTAACGTACAGAAATGTTGCAAGAGCTGGTTCTGTTGTTTCCTTGTTTTTAGTCTCTATTTCTAACATGAAAAAACAACCAACTAGGTGCCTTAAATTGGCCATGAAATTGCTTTTGCAAATGAAACCAAGCTCAAATTTAACACCCATATCATTTCGCTGCACATAACAATGCCAATTCTACCTCTACTCTTATTGGTCCCTCTTCTAGTTAATCTGGATGTGTATAGATCAGAAAAGTCTGATATCTTCATTCACTACTTCTGTTATTTCAACTATCAACTAAATTCAGGCATGAGATTGTGGGTGTGGTGACTGAGGTCGGGAGCAAGGTTCAAAAGTTCAAAGTTGAGGACAGAGTTGGGGTGGGGTGCCTGGTTGGAGCATGTCACTCGTGCGATAACTGTGCCAACGATCTTGAAAATTACTGTACCAAAAAGATACTGACCTACAATGCCACCTATATTGATGGAACAACCACGTATGGAGGTTACTCTGATCACATGGTCGCTAATGAGCATTATGTGGTCCGCATTCCTGACAACCTACCTCTTGATGCTGTTGCTCCTCTTCTTTGTGCTGGGATCACAACTTACAGTCCCCTGAGATATTTTGAACTTGACAAGCCTGGAATACATGTGGGTGTGGTGGGTTTAGGTGGCCTCGGCCATGTGGGCGTGAAGTTTGCAAAGGCATTTGGTGCTAAGGTGACTGTGATTAGTACATCACCTAACAAAAAGAAAGAAGCCATTGAACATCTTGGTGCTGATTCATTTTTGGTCAGTCGAGACCCTGATCAGATGCAGGTAACAATTTTTCTTGCTTATGTTGTTATCGACTTATAATTTACTTTAGAGAATTTCTTCTGCATTTACAAGTTCTTATGTTGCCATGTTGAATGTGCACAGGCTGCCATGGGCACATTGGATGGTATCCTCGATACAGTATCTGCAGTTCACCCCCTCCTACCATTGTTTGGTCTTCTGAAGTCTCATGGAAAACTCATCATGCTTGGTGCACCAGACAAGCCGCTGGAGCTACCGGTCTTTCCTCTGCTTATGGGTAAAATTTTGATATTAAATTTATATAGAAAACACATCAAGAATGGTGTGTCAAATTGTGAAATTATACAGAAAATGATTGGTGTTTTGATTGGAAATGAAGGGAACACAGAAGCCACATAATTTTGTACAAAAGTTGTATTTGTATATCATTACTCTTACTAATTTGTTATTTGCATTCAAAGTGGGTAGAACCCAAAATTGTCTGGTGGAAACCATTTCTAACCTGAAATGTGTAATCACAGGGAGGAAGATGGTGGCTGGAAGTGGCATTGGGGGATTGAAGGAGACGCAAGAAATGATTGATTTTGCAGCTAAACACAACATAACAGCAGAGATTGAGGTCATTCCTATGGACTACGTGAACACTGCCATGGAACGTCTTGCTAAAGTTGATGTCAAGTACCGGTTTGTTATTGATGTTGCAAACACCTTGAAAGCTGCCTAGATTGCCAATGTAGCTCGTGAACTTTGGCTTGTTTTGATACTCTCCGATGGTTGAGATATTAATATCTAGTTGTTGTATAGCTTGTACCGAAATAAAAATGAGCTCAGGTACTCGTATCATCTGTCTTCTATTGTTGCAAATTATGTCGTCTGGCTGAGCTTAATTTGATTTTTGTAAGTGAAATAATGAGATATTTTCTATTCTTTCTAGTGAATAAACACAGTATGAAAATTGACTTGGTTTTTTTCTGTCCAAGGCAAATACATTGCAAAAGACTGTTAAAATATTTCAAAACAAGCAATGTAATAACATTGCAAAACAGGCAAAATATTTCTTTCTAATCATTAAATTTCAGTTGTGTTATAATCAATAAAAAGAAAAATTCCCCCATCAGACAACTTTTTATTTGATTAGGGTTCACATGAAATGATGACGTATGTAGCAATGACATTGACAGACAATCTTTGTAATAATTCCCATCTGCTTTCAATATTTGATTGTAAATGCAAAAAGAAATGTTGCTCTAGAATGTTTTAATTCTAGTTTTTGTATGTGAAAATATAAATTCCATTAGTTGCCCACAAGAATTCCTAAAATAAATTTCCTACCCTGCTATTAACAAAAGAATAGCAAATTAGAAAGAAGGAAAGAGAGTCTAGATTCATGGCAACACATACTTTATTTACTATAATTTTTCCAAAGCTTTTCCAGACACAGCACATAAAAATTATAAGGTTCATTGAAAGGGAAAAGAAAGAAAAATTAAATTACTAACAAAGAGAGAACCAAACAGAAAAATGAAGAAGTTACCGTTAGTATCATTTGGAGGTGGGAAGAACTACAGATAACAAAATGTTGCGACAATAAGGCCTGCAGTAATCAATTATACATATTTTAAGTAATATAAGACACTGAATCGCATATATGACTCAATTTGCTCTGCTTTTGAATGATTAGCGGCCAAATAACAAACCTATGAAAGCTGCAGCAAACACATCCTGCCAATGGTGCCAATAGTACGAAAGTCAATGAAACACCCCTCTTATTTTCACTTTTTTTTTTTTTTTTTTAATGTTTGTGGTGGGGAGCAGATTTATAAACTACTATTAAATGCGTTATTTAGGTAGGCAATTCAAGAGGAAAGGTGAATTGGGTAATTTAAATTTTGGTCAAAGAATAAATTAGCAAAGACTAAGTGAAATGAATGCACACAAAATGAAAGAAAAGGAAATAAGAGCTTGACACAAGGATTTGTAGTGGTTCGGCTTACCGGCCTACGTCCACTCCTCAAGATACCTTTTTGAGAATTTCTTCACTATGAATAGATGTTTCACCTAGCTTGTGGATTTTATAAGGACTTACTTCAATCTGTTGAGGACCTTTCAACTAAATGGCTCACCTTACAGGTGTGTCACTCAGAAAATAAAGAGCAAGAATAAGAGGTACAACTGTCCTCTTTTACAAATATTCTCTCACAAGAGATGGATATGAAAGTGTAATGTAATGACCCCAAAAGTCATCCTTATTTAATTAGGGGTTAATGTGTTTTAATTCAACTATATCTATTGGAATTGAGAATGTTTTTATCTTATTTTGGGGTATTGATTGAGGTGGTGGTATGATGGTAAAGTAAGATTGGACCATAGAATATAATCCGGATAGTTATTCTACGATCAACCGTCACTCATTTGCCCTTTTTTTTTTCTACACTTTGAATTTGAATGTGAGGTTAGAACCATTGGAAAGCTTATTTCCGGGGCTTCAATTTGGACACAAGAACGACCTAGAACGGAGTCCCGATGAGAGAGTTATACCCGTTTGAAGTTTTTACATCTGTGCTGGAAGCAGAGCCGCACGTGCGGGGAATAGCGCCGCACGTGCGGGCTGTGCAGGCCAGCAGCTCAAAAACGAGATTTTTGGCCCATTTTTTACATTTTCTTTTCCTCTCTTCTTCTCCCCTCTTCCATGTCCGAAACCCTAGCTCCCAAAACCTTGATTTCCTCCACTTTTATCAACAAATCCACCATGGATCTTGCATCAAGGATGGAGAACAAGAAAGGGTCAACATTTCCAACCGATTGAATTTCGAATGTTTGGAGGATTCTTCTCAATCTTTGCTCCTTTGCTTGATTCTTGAGGTAGGGGTCCTTATTCCCTTTCAATGTTTGCATTCATGGATGGAATTATGGAATTTTGTGAATATACAAACAAAATCTATAGTTTTGAGCATATTATGTCCAACTTGAGAATTGAGGGTTTAGAGTTGGAGGTGTTTGAAGTTAAATTGGTGGGTTAAAATGATGGATTGTGACTCCTAGATGTATAATCATTGGGAAAATTGAAATAAAAAGTAATGGGTTAATAAGTTTGCATTTTTCTTGAAATTTCAATATTTTCTTGAAACCCTAGGTTGATTAGTGATGATAACCAATGAATTGGCCCAAATTGAAAATAGAGTAATGAAATTGAGGTATGGAATTATATGTGTTCAAGTTTAATTGGAATTTGAAAATGTTTGAAAATTATGTTTAAAATTTGCGAATGAGCTATGTTATAAACATTGTAATTCATGCTGTAATATGAAGGGAAAATTGGGGAAATAATCTATTAATGATATGGATGATATGAACTCGGTTTTGGAATGTTGAAATGGAATTCAAGGATTTATTTTGAATTATGTTAAATTACAAATGGTGTTGATGAACTAAGTGATATTGACCTTGTTGGATTATGTTGTGTTGACTTATAGTGAATTGATTGGTGTTGTGCTATGATGAATTATGTTTGAATTATGTGAATTGTGTAGGGTCAGCTACAGGGGCAGATCAAGCACCTGAACGCTGTGAGTAGTAGTACTTTGATGTACCTTTAACCGTTTATCGTTATTGATGTTAAATCTTTGTCGTAAGAATTATGCTGACATATATGCTATGTATGCTATGTGAGAAACACTGTGACATTATGGAAACTTCAAAAGAGTTTGTGAAGTTATGTAAGAAACATTATGAAATTATGAAAACCTCAAAAGAACTTGTGAAATATGAAGTTATGTGACCAAGGGCCATTTGTGAAGATCAAACCTATGTGGCCAAGGGCCGACTTGTGACTTATGAAGCTATAAGACCAAGGGCCAAATTTGTGAACTTGTGAAATATGAAGTTATGTGACCAAGGGCCATTTGTGAAGATCAAACCTATGTGGCCAAGGGCCGACTTATGACTTATGAAGCTATGAGGCCAAGGACCAAATTTGTAAACTTGTGAATCCAAAGGGCCGAAGGCCGATGTGATAAGTTGTGAATCTATGAAACCCAAAGGCTATTGTGAATGTGTGAACCCCTCAGGCCAAGGGCCAAACTGTGAAATTGTGAAACCAATAAAGTCATCTGTAATCTAATGAAAATGTGCTTACTTTTCGTTACTACTTATCAGGAATGTCCTGTTAACTTTACGTTAATTATGTCAACTCATGGGAATGGTGTAACGGTTACCATTAGAACTCTGTTAATTACAAGGCAAGGCAAGTATGTTAACATATAAGAATGATTAAACAAAAGTGTATGCTATTGATTAATAGAGCACCTAAAGTAAGTCATTTACCCAAAAGAATTTATGTTCATTCTTGAAGAATGGATTCTGAGTAAATATAAGAGTAGCTATGTGTATCCATATGAATTGAAGTTATTTTGCTATGTTGCTTATAACTTGGAAGTTATTCAGAATCTACGATATAAGTGTAAAGTCTAGCAACATTGTGTGACCCTCATGAAAATGTGAATTAGTCTCTCATTGTTAAGCGTACGATAATGACATGATACAACAAGAAATGCTCTAGTCATGATATGTTCCGTTTGAATTAATGAATGATGCTCAAGTATGTTCAGGTATGTTTTAAGTATATGTTACAAGTTTAAATATGCTACAAGGTCAAATATGTTTCAAGGGCTCTATGCCATATCTTTCAAGGGCTTTATGCCACATGTTTCAAGGGCCTTAGTGCCATATGTTACAAGGGCTTTATGCCACAAGTTTCAAGGGCTTATAGCCACCATGTTTCAAGGGCTTATAGCCACCATATTTCAAGGGCCTCGTGCTACCATGTTTCAAGGGCTTATAGCCACCATGTTTATGTTGCAAGATTGAACCTAAGGCCGTTATGTTCTTAGCACAGAATCAGACTAACTATGTGAACTCTACATCTTTATATGCATTGCTATGTGTTATGTTTCAAGTTAAGCATCGTTTTATTTATGTATTACTATTCACTGAGCCCGGCTCACTCTCTGTTATGTCTGTTTCTATAGGTCACCAATTAGGTGATCAGTCCCAGCCGTGACGCCGCTTTCTTTTGTCAACCTTCGTATGTCCAGGTACTATACACAGCCATTGATTTTGTTAAGCTGATAAGATGTTAGCTTGCTTTTTGAATGTCTATCTAAGAGTGATGTATATAGCTTTCGTGTTTTTGTATATGCCCAATGATAAGGCTGGGTCTGTATATATGTATGTACATAACCGATGTTCAGGTGTATGTTTTAGATTTTATTTGTTTGTTAAAAGTTTGTGATCCTGGCATGATAGTAGTAGCTCGATGGAGTTTGTTTCCAGTGTCAAATTTTGATATTTAGTGCTTCCGTTCAAGCCCTATATATATAGATATAAAACAGGTTAAGTGTCCGTTTCTGAAGTGGTCATGCCCAAACTTCTAGGGGCGGGTTTGGGGCGTGACATGTAAGCTCTCAAGTAATTTAAGTTTCACTTAGATATGAAAGTGGAAGTACAAATGGAGTATAATAAAAGCTCTTGATTGCTCTTGAATGCACTAGGCTTGTTGTGTTCAACGAGTGTGTTGAATGAACAGGAAGAGCTTCATCTTTATAGCATTAATGGCTTCACTGTTGGAGAGAGAGAGGTTTTGAAATTTCTAGCCGTTGAAAAAGATCAAGCATGATATATTCTAGCTATTGTTTGATCAAAGATGGTGGGTTGCAGACTGTGGACAGGTCTTGGGAAAAGAAAGATCATTAAATACACATGCTTTTTATTTAATACTTTTCTTCATAGGTCAACTTATTGGAGATGATATGGTTCAGAAGATCTGTTCAGAGGTCAGAAAATATGACATAATCTGTAACTCGATCTGAAAAAGTGGTTGAGAAATGATCTGTAGCAATCTAGATCTGTTTTGACAGCTGGATTTTTTTAAACCCAGATTTCGCAGGTGTTAACCCCTGCAACATAGGTGTCGACCCTTTACTTTCTTTTCTCCTATGAGTTGAGTTCCAGGTGATCTAGGTGTCGACCCTCATCATTCTTGGTGTTGACCCTTGTTGCTAGTTTGCATTCTAAAATTTGGTATTGACCCTTGTTGTTTTTGGTGTCGACCCTTGCTGCTAGATTGCATTATGAAATTTGGTGTCGACCCTTGCTGTTTTTGGTGTCGAATCTTGCTGCTAGATAGCATTCTGAAGTTTGGTGTCAACCCTTGTTGTTTTTGGTGTCGACCCTTACTGCTAGATAGCATTTTGAAATTTGGTGTCGACCCTTGCTGTTTTGGTGTCAACCTTTGCAGCTAGAACACTAAGGCATTTTGAGCTTTTCTTTGGTGTTGACCCTTGCCATTTTGATGTCGAACCTTATACTTATTTTAAATATGGATAGAGTTTTGCAACAAGTTTTGATGCTTATGTTTTGAGGGCCCAAAAATAATTAAAAAATAATATTTTAGAATCATATAGCTTCTAGAGCTATGGAACACAATTTTTATTTTGAAAACATTAAGTAACAAGGTAAGTTCAAAATATTTGTTCATAATCAAAATGAATGGAATTTTAAAGATGAATAACCTTGGGGCTAACAATCTCCCCCTTTTGATAATGACAAATATTTAAAGTTTTCAAAGTATAGGTGAAATCATAAAGAGGGGTTACTTAAGGAATTTTTTGTATGATAAGGGATTTGAAAAATGAAAGGCAAACTCCCTCTATAAAAAGGGCTTCATGGCCATATCAAAGATGATGAGAAATAACAATATAGTAAAACAATCTTGATATGGATTAAGCTCCCCCTGTCATTATGCACTGAAATTATTATTAGTAAAGTCAATTTCTTCAATTTATTTTCATTGAATGAATCACAAGCATTTAAAAATAGATTACATAATGTTTTAAGTGTAACATATCACAAGCATTCATAATCAATTGCAAGCAATGACAGAATGATTCCATGTCATAATGTATTTATGTTTCCAAAATATCCAAACAAGTGTTTCTCAAATGATTGTGTGACCAAAAACTAATTGTTTCTAAACAACCGCATCTAAGCATCCATATCCTAAGCATCCACATACAACTAATTAAAACAAGTACTACAACTTGCTTAAACAACTATCCAACTAAACAACTGTCCACTGATAATTAGAGAGCAGCCAAAATATTCAACTACAACTTTCTCTCCCTTTGTCATCAACAAAAAAGGACAGCAGCTAGCAGAAAGGTGGAGGAGAATGCGGCCAGTGAGGAGCAGCTTCACGCCAGCCTTGGGCAAACCATAGCATAAATTTCCTAATCTATTCCCCCAAATCATCGTCCCAGCGTTGTTGAAAGATTTGACGAAATTCTTCATTGGAGTTCTTGATCTCGTAGATAGCGATTACCATATTTTCGACACTTTCTTTAGCAGCTGCAATGACTTGGGCACGTTGCAACTTCATTTGATCAATGTCTTTTTGTATTTCTAATTGCTGAGAGACAAGTTGAAGAACTAATGTGCTTAATTCATCGATCTTTTCTTCCAAGGCAGAGGATGAGAAAGTAGGGACAGTGTGAGAGGATGATGGAGTAAGAACAGTATGAGAAGATAAGGGAATGTTAGAGGCAGGGATGGATTGGGAATCTAGTTTGAGATTATTGAGCCTAGAATTAATTGAAGCAATCCCATCCATCAAGGGACCCCGAACCATAAAATGAAGATGCTCGATTTTTTGAGAGAGAGAAGAGAGGTTAGAAGAAGATGGTGGAGAAGAGGGACTAGGGGTGAAGAAGGGAGGTGGAGGACTGTGAAGAGAAGACCCAGTGGTGGAAAGACCAGGAGAAGACAAGGTTTTTTTGGTCTTGGTCCAAATGCGGTTAACAAAGTGAATATCCCATGTTGAGAAGAGTTTCAGCCCCATAACGTGAGGGGTCTTTAGGAACTTTTTCTTCCCCCTTCAAATCAATCTTGAAATGTTTGAAGATTTTAGTGAAAATCATTCTGTATGGAAGAGTTTGATGGTTTTGTTTGTGGACATGTTTGATATAGTGGATTACTAAAAACCCGAAGTCAGTAAGAAACCCAGTTGAGAGAGCCCAAATAAAAAAAGTGTGGCCATATGTGACAGCATCGAAACGGCCAGAGCGGGGAATGATGTTGTGTGTGATGATGTGATGCAATAGTCTCATTTTGAGGGAAAGGTCCTTTCCAGATATAGGGATAGGGTGAGTTAAATCAGGGTTATTTGTAATGAGACGAAGACCAGTGAGATGAGTGTAGTGGGGTACATTAAGAGTGACTGTTGGTGTGACCTCTTTGCCATCATTGGAAGTTTTCAAAATGGAGTTAATGACAGAGGATGTTAGGATGAAAGGGACATCCTTTACAAAGCAGTCTAGGGTATAGGGAGAAGTGTTATCATCATAAGATAGGTTTGCAAAAAACTCTTTGATGAGTGAGGGATAAATGTCACAGTCGAGTTTCAAAATGGATGACCACTTTTGATTGTCGAACCATGTTTTCACGGGAATATAATGTTTTTCAAAAAAAAAACAAGATCTATCGTACGACCAGAAATTACCTTTCGAAGATTAAAGTCCTTGTTGAAGACAGATTGACATTTTGGGTTCTTGAATCGAAGAATAGGAGGAGAAACAGCAACTGTGGTAGAAGTGGAAGAGGTTTGAGGTCGCTTTTGTGTTGCAATAGGAGGAGGGGCTTGAGATTCTATGGAAAAGAAGGATAGAGATCGAAAGAGAGATGTAAGATGATCGGAATGTGGATCTTCGGAAAGAGTCGCTTGAACAAAAAAAGGGGGCTAGGGCTAGATTTTAGGAGGTGTCGTGAAAGAAAAAGGAAGGGTCGCGGGGTATAAGTACCCTTGAGAGGGTGTCGACCCTTATAAAGAGAAAGGTTGACCCTTAGAATATGAGCAGATCACGCGACAAACATTTTACTCAAAAGGTAGGTGTCGACCCTTAAGGGAAGGGGGTCGATACTAAAAAGCAGTGTCCACAGATTCATCAGGTGTCGACACCTTAGAAAAGAGGTGTCAATCCTAAGCAACAAAAAGGCACAAGCTTAGTTCACAAAGTGTCGACCCTATAGAGTAGGGGGTCGACCCTTAGGGTCTTAGAAGGCAAAAACTAGTGTTTTTCTCATCAAATTTCTTAAATAAGCATAACAACACATAGTTTAATATCACATGAGAATATTTAACATACCAAGCTCAGTCCGTATAAAGTAGAAATGTTCCTTACTGAGAGGCTTTGTAAATATATCAGCTAATTGTTGACTTGTAGGCACAAATTCGAGTTCAATGTCACCTTTAAGTACGTGATATCGTAGAAAGTGATGCCATATTTCAATGTGTTTAGTGCGTAAGTACTGTATGGGATTTTTTGAAAGATTAATGGCACTAGTGTTATCACATTTAATAGGTATGTGATCAAAGTGAAGTTCAAAATCAAGAAGTTGTTGTTTCATCCAAATAATTTGAGTACAAAAACTAGCAGCGGCAATATATTCCACTTCAGCTGTAGATAAAGCTACAGAATTTTGTTTTTTACAAAACCAAAATGTAAGTGAATTTCCAAGAAATTGACAAGTGCCACTAGTGCTTTTATGGTCAAGTCCATATCCCGCAAAGTCGGCATCCGAATAACCATAATGATCAAAAATATTTGTTTTAGGGTACCAAAGCCCCAAAAGTAGAGTGCCAACGAGATATCTAAAAATGTGTTTTTACTACGGTGACGTGTGATTCTTTTGGAGATGATTGAAAACGAGCACACATGCAAACACTAAACATGATATTGGGTCTACTAGCTATTAGATAGAGTAAGGAACCAATCATACCTCAATATTTCTTTTCGTCTACCTGTTTACCTTGCTCATCTTTGTCGATTTTAATCGAAGTGCTCATAGAAGTTGCTGTAGGTTTGGACAAATCCATTTCAAATCTTTTGAGGAGATCTTTGATATATTTGGCTTGAGATAGATGAATTCCATCTTGGGTTTATTTTATTTGCAATCCGAGAAAGTACGTTAATTCTCCCATCATACTCATTTCAAATTCGCCCTGCATATTCTTACCAAATTCCTCGCACAAAGATTCATTAGTAGCTCCGAATATAATATCATCAACATAAATTTGAACAATAAGCATATCTTTATTTTTAGTTTTTATGAAAAGAGTGGTATCAATTTCCTACGAGAAAAACCTTTTTCAATAAGAAAATTGCTCAAGCGTTCATACCATGCTCTAGGGGCTTGTTTCAAATCATACAAGGCTTTTGAAAGTTTATAAACGTGGTCCGGGTGTTTGTGGTTTTCAAAACCGAGAGGTTGTTCAACATACACTTCCTCCGAAACATAACTATTTAAAAAGGCACTTTTCACATCCATTTGAAAGAGTTTAAAATTTTTAAAACAAGCAAATGCAAGCAACATACGAATAGCTTCAAGGCGTGCAACAGGTGCAAATTTCTCATCAAAATCAATGCCCTCTTCTTGGTTATAACCTTGGGCTACAAGTCTAGCTTTGTTTCGGATAACAACCCCGGATTTATCCATTTTATTTCGAAAATCCCATTTAGTTCCAATAACGCGATGATCCATAGGACGAGAAGTCAAAAACCAAACTTCATTTCTTTCAAACTAATTTAACTCTTATTGCATAGCAAAAATCTAGTTTTCATCGTGTTTAGCCTCAGAAAAGGTTTTTGGCTCAATTTGAGAAACAAAAGCTAAATTTCCATACATTATGAATAGAAGAACGAGTGTGTGGCATCTCCTATAATGAGGTCTTTAGGATGTCCATGAGCGTACTTCCATTCTTTGGGTATATCATTTTCCTTTGCTGGATGGGTATACTCTTTTTAAAGATCTTCTATAGAGACTTCAATATTGGGTTCCGAAGCAAGAGATTCATCATTTTTCGATAAGTAAATGCCTTCAATACTTGGATTAGAATCTACAACATCATCACTAGCGGTATTCTTGGAAGTAAAGGAGCTAGATTCATCAAAAGCAACGTGTATAGATTCTTCAACAAGTAAGGTTCTTTTATCAAAGACACGATAAGCTTTACTAAAACTTGCATAACCAAGAAACACGGCTTCATTAGATTTTACATCAAACTTTCCAAGATTTTCTTTATTATTATTAAGTACAAAACATTCACATCCAAATGCACGAAAATGACCAATGTTGGGTTTTCTACCCTTCCATAATTCATATGGCGTTTTCTTAAGGATAGGTCTAATCATGGCACGATTAATAACATAACAAGCTGTATTTACGACTTCTGCCCAAAAATATCTTGGCAAATTATTTTCACAAAGCATAGTCCGAGCCATTTCCTCAAGAATTCTATTTTTTCTTTCTACCACACCATTTTGTTGAGGAGTTCGGGGAGCAGAAAAATTATGATCAATACCATGCTCATTACAAAATAAAATAAACTCATCATTATCAAATTCTTTACCATGATTACTTCTAATGCTACAAATAGTAAGACTAATCATGTTTTGAATACGTTGACAAAGAGTAGTAAATGTAGAAAAAGTGTCACTTTTGTGTGCCAAGAAAATCACCCAAGTGAATCTAGTAAAGTCATCCACACAAACAAGACAATAAGTGTGACAACCCTCACCACTGTTTACCGATAAACTACCGATTACTGCTAAACTGAGACTGATTATGATTGGTAATTGAACTGATTGCAATACTGGACTGACTGACTGGAATCTGAAACTGAATTGATTAAGTATACCTGTTATATTGCATTTCTATCTGTTGCCTATTTGATTATCTGTTCATGTTTTATGTTTAAATTGCCATATTGAAGGCCTTATCAGCGGTCGAACCAGAAATTGATTGATGTTTTACGATCATCATAATTTATGTGATTTTATGGTGTAATTATCTGAAAACTGATTTGGTATGATTAACTTAAATTAAAATAAGCTAAATTACATAGGTTACTGTATTTACCAACTAGCCCTATTAGTGGACCACTATCTAGCATCTATTGAAGCCTTATTACATTACAACAAACATTTTCATCAGCCTATTTTCTTGAGAGCAACCGACCAAGAGAGAGTGAGGGAGAGAATTGCATTGTCCTTGTTGATTTGTTTAGAAACTTGAAGGAATTAAAGGTTGATTTCAAAATTGTGCTTCAATTCTTGAACTACAAGACCTAAGGTAGTGTAACTACCCTCTTGTTTGTGAATTCAATTGATTCTTGCATGGTTTTAGAGCAAGTTGAAGTCTAGAGCCAAGCTATGGCTCTTAATTGTTGAATTATAGCTTAATTCATGCAAGCATGCCTATATTATTGAATTTTGAGTTGATTCCATGGAAAATTGTCACATGCATGCTCATACTTATGTTAAGTCCATGAATTCATCTTGTCTTTGAAGATATTAGCTCAATAGAGCATGTATTTGAGGCTTGTAAGTTGTTTAACTTCATGCAATCTTGTTCATGAAAATTGGTTTGAAATTGGATTTATTTGAACTACCTTTGGGCTTTGATTTTACAAATTGAGCTTTGAATCATGTTAAACTATGAGTTTTGAAGTGTTTTCCAGGAAATGGGCCCAAAGGAATCAAATTTGATACATTTGTAGTTGAATTTGAGCTTGAGGTTCAAATTTGAGAATTCCAGATTTTGAACTCACGCTCGAGCGGGGTGACCGGCGCTCGAGTGTGGAAATCGTGCTCCCAGCATTTTGTTCTGTTTTTAGGTCAGCTCGAGCAGGGTAATTTATGTTCGAGCGGGACCTTGTGTTTTACGCTCAAGCGGGTGTCGAGCGCCCAATCGAGCGTGAATTTCACCTATCCAGCACTTTTGACTGTTTTGAAGTACACTTGAGCGGTTGAATCTGCGCTCGAGCGGAAACCTTTGCCTGCATGTCCGTTCGAGCGGCTTAATCTACGCTCGAACGGGACCCCTGTTTTCTGAAAATGCTTTTAAAGTGCATCTTTGCATCATCATTTCATCCTAGGCATTCTTAGGCCTAGTTTAAGGCATCTTAATGAGGATATAGATGTAGAACCACACCGAGGCAAATTAGGGATTAAATTATTATCTTTCCCAACTGTGTAGCTTAGTGTGTGTTCAATCTGTAAACTGTGTAGGGTTGGCGACTGGAGACGCGCTCTAGCTTACTGTAGCCCAGAACTCTGTGAGTAACAACTGTGTAAAGATATGTTCAACTGTGAATATTTCTGACTGTTTACTGAACTATTTTCTAAACTGATACTGTTAACTGAATGAATGCATGTCTTATATTCTAAACTGTATTGTGGCATCCTTAGCAATTACTGTTACTAGCTATTACTGTTACAGAGATCTCTGTCGGTTCCCTTGTTGGAACCACTACTGTTTACTGATTGATGGCCATCATTAACTGTTCGGTCTTTTAAGACCTACTGCTTACTGTACTACTATGCTAATGGATGTACCACATATGACTGAATGACTGAAATACTGTTTTAATGAACTGCTTTCATTACTGTAAGGACATTCATTCTAAACCTCTTTACGCACAATGTTTTTCACTGGGCTTTAGCTTACTGCTCATATATATATGTAGGTGTACAGGCACCAGACCGCGGCTAGAAGTGTCGGGGTAAGCTCCAGTTTTGTCAAGCCAACCTATGTGCCTCACTGCAAGGTTCCGAGCCTGTCAAGCCAAGGCTATGGGGTGTTTTAGTTTTTCCTCCTTCTATTCTGTCTTGTAATAACTGTATAGACTGTACTGTACTGTTTGATAGGGATTTGGTCCCTGTTCTGCATGATTGTAAATATTGTGCATACTGTTCTGCACTGTGTATATATATTTATATGAAAAGTCTTTTTGGCGTACAGACTATCACAGCTCATTGGACATTGTTTATTTACTGTATCGACTTCCGCCAGGCCCTTGTACTCTGTTTTACTGTCTTACTGTTAAGCAGGCCTTCGGTAATCTCGGATTACTGGTCGGTTACGGTGTTAAACCCATAGGGGCGGGTTTGGGTCGTGACAATAAGATTTACCACAAAGACTTAAAGTTCTAGAAGGTCCGAACAAGTCAATATGTAACAATTGAAGAGGTCTAGAAGTGGAAATAATATTTTTAGATTTGAAGGAAACTTTTGTTTGTTTTCCTTATTGACAAGCATCACAAAGTCTATCTTTTTCAAAATCAATTTTTGGTAAGCCTACAACTAAATCAAGTTTTGAAAACAAATCCATATGAGCATGTCCTAGCTTTCTATGCCATAACCAACCGGATTCATTCATAACATATAAGCACTTAACATCATGATTAGGAGATAAACTATGCAAATCAATAAACTATGCAAATCAAATATATATACATTTTCATGCCTATAACCAACAAAAAGCACTTTGTTTTCAGCAGAATTGTTAATGGTGCAGTGGGATTTTTCAAAAGTGACATGATTGCCTTTATCACACATTTGACTAATATTAAGCAAGTAATGTTTCAATCCTTCAACAAGCAATACATTTTCAATGATGGGTGAAGAAGTTTTACCAATACTACCTTCGCCGATGATTTTTCGCTTACTATTGTCTCCGAAGGTCACGTGCCCTCCTTCTTTGGATTTAAGGGTTGAGAACATTGCTCTATCTCCGGTCATGTGCCTTGAGCACGCACTGTCAAGGTACCACTGGTTGTTGCTAGATTTTGACTTAAAACACACCTGCAAAAATTAGATTTTTGTTAACCTTTTGGTACCCATTCTTTCTTGGGTCCATGAGAGTTAGGAGTTGAAGTGTTTTTGGGAACCCATTTCTTTTTCATTCTATCAAATGAATTTCTCTTAGTAGGACAAGAATGAGAGATGTGACATTTTCTTCCACCGTAATGGCATATGAGATGAGAATCGTTGAATAATGCATAAACAAAGATCTTTTTGGAATTTTTTGCTTTTGAAAAAGATTTATAGCCAATTCCCATTCTTCCAAATGTTTGATTTTGACTTTTGAGAATTTTATGTAAGGTATCTCTACCTTAAGTAAATTTTGAAAGAACATTTTTTAAATCTCCTATGTTTTCATTTAAGACAATTTTCTCATTTTTCAAAATTTCATTTTCCTTTTGCAAATCATCTACTTTTTCTTCTAAAGTAAAGAATTCTTTTTCCTTTGAAAATTATTTCTCCTTTTCCAATGTCAGACTTTATTTTCCAAAGTATTGATCTTAGAAGTCAAGGATTCCTTTTCCTGAGATAGACTTGAGATCATTTTCTTTTGACAATTACTTTTCATACTTAATTTTTAAAATTCAGCATACAATTCATCAAAAACGTTTTGTAATTCATCGAAAGTGAAAGAGTCATCATTTACCTCATCTTCAAGTTCCATCAAGCATAAATTTGCGACTTTATTTTTGCAAAGATCCATCTCCAAGTCGCTGTCGTCACTGTCTTCTCCCCAAGCTACAATCATGGCCTTCTTTTTATCCTTCTTGAATTGTTTTTTGAGCTCTGGACATTCCAATTTGTAATGTCCAAGCTTGTTACATTCATAGCAAGTAACTTCAGATTTTTTGTGACTTTCCCCTTTTTGAAAATCTTTATTGAAGTCTTTTCTAAAGAACTTTCTTACACCTTGTTTCTTCTTTGCAAACCTTTTGAATCTTTTGGTAATGAAAGCCATTTCTTCATCTTCCTCTGAATCATCTTCTTCTTCCTCTTGAAACTCTGAGGTAGACGTGAAAGCTATCTATTTCTTCTTATTTTTGTCTTCTTCTTTTTTTCCTTCTTGCATGATGATTTCATTGGTTAGGAGAGATCCCATTAGTCTATCAAGACTCAATGTTGACAAGTCTCTTGCTTCTATCACTGCAATAACTTTGTTCTCCCAACTTTTGGCAATGATCGGAGAACTTTTCTAACAATCTCCGCATTAGTATAAGTCTTTCCAAGAGATTTAAGACTATTTATAATGTCTGTAAATCGAGTGAATATTTGGGATATATTCTCATCGGGTTTCATCTTGAAGAGCTCGTAATAGTGAACAAGCAAGCTCACTTTAGACTTTTTGACTTGAGTAGTTCCCTCATGAGTTATAACAAGTTTACCCCAAATTTCTTTTGCAGTTGCACAAGTGCATATTTTATTAAATTCAGTAGCATCAAGTGCACAATATAACATGTTAACAGCTTTGGCATTGGATTGAATATCTTTATAATCAGCACTAGTCCACTCACTTTCAAGTTTGGGGACTAACATACCATCTATAGTTTTAGTGGGGACTTTAGGACTATCACATATGATTTTCCAAACCTCATAGTTGATGGATTGAATATGCATAATGATGCGGGTTTTTCAATAATTGAAATTTGTGCCATTGAAGAAAGATGGTCTGTTTGAGGGTTGACCTTTAGGAAGAGAGGAGTTAGGGGTTGCCATAGATCACTCTAAGACGGTTAAGTCACAATACTAGAGACGAGACTCTGATACCAATTGTTATTTATGTAGGCAACCCAAGAGGAGGGTGAATTGGGTAATTTAAAATTTTGGTCTAGGAATAAATTAGCAAAGACTAAGTAATAAAAAAGATGATAATAAATGAATGCAGAGAAAATGAAAGAAAAGGAAATAAGAGCTTGACACAAGGATTTATAGTGGTTCGGCTCACCGGCCTACGTTTACTCCTTAAGACACCTTCTTGAGAATTTCTTCACTATGAATAGATGCACTACCAAACTTAACCTAGCTTGTGGATTTTACAAGGACTTACTTCAATCATTTGAGGACCACTCAACTAAATGCCTCACCTTACAGGTGTGTCATTCAGAAAATAAGGAGCAAGAATAAGAGGTACAACTGTTCTCTTTTACAAATATTCTTTCACAAGAGATAGATATGAAAGTGTAAGCTCTCAAGTAATTTAAGTCTCACTCAGATATGAAAGTGGAAGTACAAAATGGAGTATAATAAAAGCTCTTGATTGCTCTTGAATGCACTAGGCTTGTTGTGTTCAACGAGTGTGGTCTACTAGCCGTTAGATAGAGTAAGGAACCAATCATACCTCGATATTTCTTTTCGTCTACCGGTTTACCTTGCTCATCTTTGTCAATTTTAATCAAAGTGCTCATAGGAGTTGCTGCAGGTTTGGACAAATCCATTTCAAATCTTTTGAGGAGATCTTTGATATATTTGGCTTGAGATAGATGAATGCCATCTTGGATTTGTTTTATTTGCAATCCGAGAAAGTACGTTAATTCTCCCATCATACTCATTTCAAATTCGCTCTGCATATCCTTACCAAATTCCTCAAACAAAGATTCATTAGTAGCTCCGAATATAATATCATCAACATAAATTTGAACAATAAGCATATCTTTATTTTTAGTTTTTATGAAAAGAGTGGTATCAATTTCCTACGAGAAAAACCTTTTTCAATAAGAAAATTGCTCAAGCGTTCATGCCATGCTCTAGGGGCTTGTTTCAAATCATACAAGGCTTTTGAAAGTTTATAAACGTGGTCCGGGTGTTTGTGGTTTTCAAAACCGAGAGGTTGTTCAACATATACTTCCTCCGAAATATAACTATTTAAAAAGGCACTTTTCACATCCATTTGAAAGAGTTTAAAATTTTTAAAGAAAAATGCTTCGGACCCCCAGTGAGGTGGCGCGCCGTGATTGGACAAAAAAAAACTGTTTTATTTTATTTTTATTTTTTTTTTGAGTTTCAGCCAGTGAGGGCTCGCCACCTCACTGAGGGTGCGACCCCCATTGAGGGTCTGCAGCATAGTTGATTTTTAAAATAAGTAAATGCAAGCAACATACGAATAGCTTCAAGGCGTGCAACAGGTGCAAATTTCTCATCAAAATCAATGCCCTCTTCTTGGTTATAACATTGGGCTACAAGTCTAGCTTTGTTTCTGATAACAACCCCGGATTTATCCATTTTATTTCGAAAAACCCATTTAGTTCCAATAACGGGATGATCCATAGGACGAGAAGTCAAAAACCAAACTTCATTTCTTTCAAACTGATTTAACTCTTCTTGCATAGCAAAAATCTACTTTTCATCGTGTTTAGCCTTAGAAAAGGTTTTTGGCTCAATTTGAGAAACAAAAGCTAAATTTCCATATACATTATGAATAGAAGAACGAGTTCTTACTCCTTGTGTGGCATCTCCTATAATGAGGTCTTTAGGATGTCCATGAGCGTACTTCCATTCTTTGGGTAGATCATTTTCCTTTGTTGGATGGGTGTACTCTTTTTAAAGATCTTCTATAGAGACTTCAATATTGGGTTCTGAAGCAAGAGATTTATCATTTTTTGATAAGTAAATGCCTTCAATACTTGGATTAGAATCTGCAACATCATCACTAGCGGTATTCTTGGAAGTAAAGGAGTTAGATTCATCAAAAGCAACGTGTATAGATTCTTCAACAAGTAAGGTTCTTTTATCAAAGACACGATAAGCTTTACTAAAACTTGCATATCCAAGAAACACGGCTTCATTAGATTTTACATCAAACTTTCCAAGATTTTCTTTATTATTATTAAGTACAAAACATTCACATCCAAATGCACGAAAATGACCAATGTTGGGTTTTCTACCCTTCCATAATTCATATGGCGTTTTCTTAAGGATAGGTCTAATCATGGCACGATTAATAACATAACAAGCTGTATTTACGACTTCTGCCCAAAAATATCTTGGCAAATTATTTTCACAAAGCATAGTCCGAGCCATTTCCTCAAGAATTCTATTTTTTCTTTCTACCACACCATTTTGTTGAGGAGTTCAGGGAGCAGAAAAATTATGATCAATACCATGCTCATTACAAAATAAAATAAACTCATCATTATCAAATTCTCTACCATGATCACTTCTAATGCTACAAATAGTAAGACTAATCATGTTTTGATTACGTTGACAAAGAGTAGTAAATGTAGAAAAAGTGTCACTTTTGTGTGCCAAGAAAATCACCCAAGTGAATCTAGTAAATTCATCCACACAAACAAGACAATAAGATTTACCACAAAGACTTAAAGTTCTAGAAGGTCCGAACAAGTCAATATGTAACAATTGAAGAGGTCTAGAAGTGGAAATAATATTTTTAGATTTGAAGGAAACTTTTGTTTGTTTTCCTTATTGACAAGCATCACAAAGTCTATCTTTTTCAAAATCAATTTTTGGTAAGCCTACAACTAAATCAAGTTTTGAAAACAAATCCATATGAGCATGTCCTAGCTTTCTATGCCATAACCAACCGGATTCATTCATAACATATAAGCACTTAACATCATGATTAGGAGATAAACTATGCAAATCAATAAACTATGCAAATCAAATATATATACATTTTCATGCCTATAACCAACAAAAAACACTTTGTTTTCAGCAGAATTTTTAATGGTGCAGTGGGATTTTTCAAAAGTGACATGATTGCCTTTATCACACATTTGACTAATATTAAGCAAGTTATGTTTCAATCCTTCAACAAGCAATACATTTTCAATGATGGGTGAAGAAGTTTTACCAATACTACCTTCGCCGATGATTTTTCGCTTACTATTGTCTCCGAAGGTCACGTGCCCTCCTTCTTTGGATTTAAGGGTTGAGAACATTGCTCTATCTCCGGTCATGTGCCTTGAGCACGCACTGTCAAGGTACCACTGGTTGTTGCTAGATTTTGACTTAAAACACACCTGCAAAAATTAGATTTTTGTTGACCTTTTGGTACCCATTCTTTCTTGGGTCCATGAGAGTTAGGAGTTGAAGTGTTTTTGAGAACCCATTTCTTTTTCATTCTATCAAATGAATTTCTCTTAGTAGGACAAGAATGAGAGATGTGACCTTTTCTTCCACCGTAATGGCATATGAGATGAGAATGGTTGGATAATGCATAAACAAAGGTCTTTTTGGAATTTTTTGCTTTTGAAAAAGGTTTATAGCCAATTCCCATTCTTCCAAATGTTTGATTTTGACTTTTGAGAATTTTATCTAAGGTATCTCTACCTTAAGTAAATTTTGAAAGAACATTTTTTAACTCTTCTGTGTTTTCATTTAAGACAATTTTCTTTTTTTTCAAAATTTCATTTTTCTTTTGCAAATCATCTACTTTTTCTTCTAAAGTAAAGAATTATTTTTCCTTTGAAAATTATTTCTCCTTTTCCAATGTCAAACTTTATTTTCCAAAGTATTGATCTTAGAAGTCAAGGATTCCTTTTCCTGAGATAGACTTGAGATCATTTTCTTTTGACAATTACCTTTCATACTTAATTTTTTAAATTCAGCATGCAATTCATCAAAAGCATTTTGTAATTCATCGAAAGTGAAAAAGTCATCATTTACCTCATCTTCAAGTGCCATCAAGCATAGATTTGCGACTTTATTTTTGCAAAGATCCATCTCCAAGTCACTGTCATCACTGTCTTCTCCCTAGGCTACAATCATGGCCTTCTTTTTATCCTTCTTGAATTGTTTTTTGAGCTCTGGACATTCCGATTTGTAATGTCCCAGCTTGTTACATTCATAGCAAGTAACTTCAGATTTTTTGTGACTTTCTCCTTTTTGAAAATCTTTGTTGAAGTCTTTTCTGAAGAACTTTCTTACATCTTGTTTATTCTTTGCAAACCTTTTGAATCTTTTGGTAATGAAAGCTATTTCTTCATCTTCCTCTGAATCATCTTCTTCTTCCTCTTGAAACTTTGAGGTAGACGTGAAAGCTATCCATTTCTTCTTATTTTTGTCTTCTTCTTTTTTTCCTTCTTGCATGATGATTTCATGAGTTATGAGAGATCCCATTAGTCTATCAAGACTCAATGTTGACAAGTCTCTTGCTTCTATCACTGCAATAACTTTGTTCTCCCAACTTTTTGGCAATGATCGGAGAACTTTTCTGACAATCTCCGCATTAGTATAAGTCTTCCCAAGAGATTTAAGACTATTTATAATGTCTGTAAATTGAGTGAACATTTAGGATATATTCTCATCGGGTTTCATCTTAAAGAGCTCGTAATAATGAACAAGCAAGCTCACTTTAGACTCTTTGACTTGAGTAGTTCCCTCATGAGTTATAACAAGTTTATCCCAAATTTCTTTTGCAGTTGTACAAGTGCATATTCTATTAAATTCAGTAGCATCAAGTGCACAATATAACATGTTAACAACTTTGGCATTGGATTGAATATCTTTATAATCAGCACTAGTCCACTTACTTTCAAGTTTGGGGACTAACATACCATCTATAGTTTTAGTGGGGACTTTAGGACCATCACATATGATTTTCCAAACCTCATAGTTGATGGATTGAATATGCACAATCATGCGGGTTTTTCAATAATTGAAATTTGTGCCATTGAAGAAAGATGGTCTGTTTGAGGCTTGACCTTTAGGAAGAGAGGAGTTAGGGGTTGCCATAGATCACTCTAAGACGGTTAAGTCACAATACTAGAGACGAGGCTCTGATACCAATTGTTATTTATGTAGGTAACCAAAGAGGGGGGTGAATTGGGTAATTTAAAATTTTGGTCTAGGAATAAATTAGCAAAGACTAAATAATAAAAAAGATGATAATAAATGAATGCAGAGAAAATGAAAGAAAAGGAAATAAGAGCTTGACACAAGGATTTATAGTAGTTCGGCTCACCGGCCTACGTTCACTCCTTAAGACACCTTCTTGAGAATTTCTTCACTATGAATAGATGCACCACCAAACTTAACCTAGCTTGTGGATTTTACAAGGACTTACTTCAATCTGTTGAGGACCACTCAACTAAATGCCTCACCTTACAGGTGTGTCATTCAGAAAATAAGGAGCAAGAATAAGAGGTACAACTGTTCTCTTTTACAAATATTCTTTCACAAGAGATAGATATGAAAGTGTAAGCTCTCAAGTAATTTAAGTCTCACTCAGATATAAAAGTGGAAGTACAAATGGAGTATAATAAAAGCTCTTGATTGCTCTTGAATGCACTAGGCTTGTTGTGTTCAACGAGTGTGTTGAATGAATAGAAAGAGCTTCATCTTTATAGCATTAATGGCTTCACCGTTGAAGAGGGCTATATTTGATGATAATTGATGTCAAATGATGATGAAGTTCCTAATGAGACATTCACCTACAATTTCCACAAATTCGTTTAGTCCTTCTTCAATTCACACAAACCCCAAAATTCAAATTCCAAATCATGAAAAACCTATTAAGAACACATTATAATAGACTTATTACCATTACTAACTATTGATGAAGAAGAGGGTTATTGCTAGAATTGCAGTGTCCTCTGTATTATATTAGGGGGAGGCCAAATGGGGTTAAATCCAACCTATGGTTCTCCCCTTTAAAATTGTACTCACCATTCGACAAATTAGCCCAATTACCTTGGCCCAAACTCGAAGCATTTGATGGTTTTGGCAATGGAACATAATTTGGATGCAAAACATCTACATTGGGGATTGAAGAGGCTAGTCTAAATATCGAATTTGGCAGAGAAAGATTGGTTTGCAAAGGGTTATGCCTAGAATTGGAAGTATACTGAGATTGAACAGCTAAACATGAATAATTGATTGGTGATACAAGTTAATTGAAGAGTTAAAGAGCATATTTCTTTTGTTGTTCCTCTAATCTAATCTTCTCAAGCAGAGCAACACCTAGTCCTCTTTGTGGGACATTTTTTTTTGCTTCAACTTTTTTGATGATCTGTTTCTACCCCCACCATCACCACCACCACCACTGCTACTATTGCTACACCTGTGGTTGTGTTCTTCTTAAGCCATTTTTTATCTCAGTCATCTAATTACAAACAACTAATGGGCAATCTTAAATACAAATTGGGAAGTTATGTGCAGTTTTCTGTCGCAAGTGTTAAAATTTTGTGTTCTTTAATTTTGTTTTGTCAGCAAAAATGGATTGAGTTGGTTGATCTAACCAAAGTTATTCAGATTTTTTTTTAAAATTTTATTTTCCTTTTTCATTTTTGGGAAGTGCATATCTGTGCTTTCTATTCTTAAAAGCAATTCCTCTAAAATCTAAAGATTTAATAAAAGAGAAGTTGATACACACAAAGCTGCTACATAGATTTCATTCCAATGAAATTTTTTTTATGGCAATTACCAGTTACGGTTAATGCTAATTTATAACATTTTGCCCAATTTTAAATTTTTTTTATGGTTTAGACATATTGAAGCTAGAGTCCACTACTTTCTAGGATACAGATATAAGCTGCAAGCTCTGTTACTCCACTGTTTTGCAGGGCAAACCTAAAATTCTGATAGAAAAAACAGGGCCTTTCCGTTCTTTTATACAATGTCATAGATAACAAAAATGTTAGAGATTTTAAAAGTTTTATCAAATGTCTCACATGAGTATTGAGACCCATATTACTCTATAGATAATAGTTATAGATATATGTTTCAGCAGTTGGGCTGGGCATTGGATGGGCTTAGGGTTTAAAATTTGCAAACTAGGCCCAGCCCAATTGAAGCATACAGATATGGGCTGAGATCTAGCGTCGACGTGGCAAATGCAATGCCTCTATTAGTGTAGTGGATACCGAAGGGCCACTTGTCGTCAGGGTAAAAAAATCAGATACTCATCAGAGCATAATAATAAAGAGATCTGAACCAATCAAATTCCAATCAGTTGAAGACTAATGAAGAACATCTGAGTTGATGTAGAACTTGAAAGATCCTGTGGTTTGAGACGTAGAGAGCATCGATTCTGATGTACCATCACAGCATTATAAGATTTTCGAATAACGGCGTAGACATATACAACAGAGAAAGTTACAGAAACTAGTAGATTGGGTCAGCAATGGCCACTCATATCATTAGGAGTTTGAGCTTCCAAGCTAACACTTCCTCAAAAGCACGTTTTGACTTTGATTCGAAATCACAGTTTTCTTTATCTTTTCGAGGGTTAGGCAAGCCCAGAAGGGGGGTTTCTGTCTCAATTCGTGCTATGGGTTCCTCTGCTTCTTCTCAGAAACCAGACAACATTCAAGGTCTCTCTCTCTCTCTCTCTCAGTGTGCTAGCACTTTTTTGCTTTTTTTTTTAGGGTTTTCATGGTGACTTAATCAATTAGGTAATCTTTCTTAATTTGGTAATATGCTTCATGGATGAAATTCTAGAAGAAACTTACAGTTGATGCAACTTTTTCCTTCATTTTTTTTTTTTTGTTGTTGTTGATGTTTGTTGTCATGAGATAATATAATTTGTATGTTTTTTATTGCTTCTATTGAATTGTTGAAATGAGGTATTAATTTATGTTTATGATTGTGCGAAACCGTTCTCTTTTTTTGGCTATATTTTGTAAAGAACTAAGTATCTTAAGAATCTGACTCCCCTGTGATTTGGTTAAGAAACTTTCCCAGTTTTTGAAGTATTGAATTGCAAAACGAATTTTGGTCTAGATGAAAGTCCAAGTATGTAAATTTGATCTTCAAAGTAGTGGAAAAACCTTAACGCTGTGTTTGGTTGGAGAATTTGGTAAGGGATTTGAAAAAAGTAAGAGAAAAAGTGTGTAAAACTGTGTGAAATATATGTATACTAGTATATTTAGGCACGGTGTAAATAATCTTGGGATTAGAATATAATTGTAATCCAACACTATTTAATAAATTATAAATTGACCTATAAACAATCTAAAATAATCCTAAAAAGATAGATGAAACATGACATTCAAATTAACATCTAATGAACATAAATCATCAAAACACCATAATAAATCAACATAAATCAAATTAATTCACAATAATAATAATACATAAATAAATAAATAAATAAAGGGATAATCCCAAATTAACCCAAATAAATAAATAAAGTAAAAAAAATTAAATATGAGGAAGAAAAATGAGAGCTTGGAATAGGAACCAACACCATAGATTCTGCCCAATTCGAAGTCTTGGATGGTGAAATTCTCTTGGGGTGCCCTAAATGTGAAGCTCTTAGATCTGGGTATGTTCCCTCCATTGGAAGAATTGCACTCAATCCTCAGCTTTGAATCAAAATCCTTCTCCATATTAGCTGCCGCTCGAGACCCAATATTTCTCTCTCTGAAATTCCCTATTTAATATATAAACATTGATACATATATACATATAGTTTTTTCTGTTTATAAATATCAATCTCTCTCTCTCTCTCCCCTCTAAAAAGCACACTCTCTCTCTAGAAATCTTGGAAGAAGAGGACAGAGCAGAAGAAGAGCAAAGCCATGGTATATTAATATTCAGATCAGATTGTCTTTCCTTCTTCGAACCAATCTGATAAAGCCACCACACCACAATTTGAAACATCATCGAGGCTGTGGTTAGGAGAGATGGAGGAGGACATGAATAGGGGGTTCGGGTTTGGGTTTCCGACGAATATTGTTGTTGTTGTTACCAAGATCAGTTGATTCAGATGCAGATGTATCAGTACTAGTGGCTGTACATTCGATCTTCTAGTGAACTGAGTTGGGTATGTCGTGGCTCTTGCGGTGTTTGATGACGAAGATCTCCTTCTTTAGAGTCTCTTCTTATGGCTTTTTCGTGTCTGTTAATTGGGAGTTAGTGTTGGTCTTGGTTTGATTTGGAGATGGGTGTGGAAGTGCATTTGGAGAGGAACAAATGGTGGTTTTCTTGCTCAAACAACTACCAATTTTAGACGGAGAGAGAGATGGGGAATTACAGAGAAGAATGGGATGGAAAGGAAGGGAAATGAGAGAGAGAGAGAGAGAGAGCGAGAGAGAGAGGTGTTTTTCGTGGTTCTGTTCAAGAAGAATAGAGAGGGAGAGAGAGATAAAGAGGGAATGAGGAGGAGACATGGGTGAGAGTAGAGAGGGAGAGAGGGTGAGAGAGATAGAGAGGGAAGGTGGGGAGACATGGGTAGGTGGGAAGCTTAGGAGAGAAATGTTTGGGCGGGAATTATAATTGATCTGAACCATTAATATAAATGTAAGATTTATTTTAGCCGTTCAAACAAAATGTATCTCTCATATATTTTATATATTTTCAAAAACCATTCTGCTTTATTAAATAGATTTTATTCATATTTTACCTATATTTTCTTTTTTCCTTTCTAAATCCCTTCTCAAATCCCTTAACCAAACACAGCGTAAGACTGTATTTGGTTTATGGATTTAGAAATGGATTTGGAAAGTGAAGAAGGACTTAGAAAGAGAAAGGAAAAATGTGTGTGAAATGTAGTTATATTTCATTCACATTTCACCTACTTTTTTTCTTTTCCTTTTCAAATTCATTTCCAAATCCATGAACCAAACGTAGTGTAAGGATGTGTTTAGATTTTAGATTTCTGGAGGAACGGGAAAAGGGAAGGGAAAAGTGATAAAAATTGAAGCTTTTGCTATCTATTTTCTTTTCCTTCTACAAATTCCCATTTATTTCCAAGATCCAAATAGCCAAAATGTGAGATCACTCTTAGTGCAAATAGTTCAAAGTTGTGACCTGACCCATAAGGCATAAAATGAGGAATTTGACCAAGAATATAAGCAACTTGCGAAATCTTAAAACAAATGACTATGCCATGATTGGCATATACTCAATGCATTTTTGGACTTAATTTTGTGTTCTTTATGTTCTGGGTGTAAGTCAATTGGGAGTGAAAAATCACATGATTGGTTAAAAATTCACAGTGGCTCTTGTATTTATCTTCTTGCTATATGATATGAAGAAATTCAAATTTAATGGATTTATTTTGTGCAGAGGCTGGCAGGGTTTCCATAAGTGATGAAGAATTGAAGAAGCGGCTCACAGGGGAACAATATTACATAACCCGACAAAAGGGGACTGAGAGGGCTTTCACTGGGTATGCTACCTTTTCATATTCTACTTGTCTAATACTTTTGATCACTGCTTTAAAATAAGAAAAAGGAAAAAGTATAACCTTACTGCAAAAAAAGGGGAAGACATTAGCCAGTCTTCGTCCTCATTAATCATTTTTACTATGAGGGGTCGTGGAATTGACCTAACCTTTGACATTCTTTGGACAAAGTGATTGCGGTTAGACTTGAGTGTGCTCATGCTCGACAACCCAAGTTTTAGCATTGCACCAAGCAACATCCACAGCTTTACCATAACATGTAAAGATATATGGGGGAGGATCTCGCATCTTCAGAAACTGCGGCTAATCCATTGCAAAATGATCCTAGTCACCCATTTTTGTTCCCAAATCACTTGGCTTAGAGAATTTGTTGTTTGAGCAACAAAAAAAAAAAGTAATAAGTTAGCATCATGAATCTTTCTGGCTAACCCTCTGAGTTGACTGGAGTTTCTGTTGTGAGGGACTAACCATCTGAGTTGTTGTATTGGTAACTCTTTGTTTTCTTTAATTTCCTTTGAATAAAAAAAAAAAAAAAAAAGAAACTTTTTGGCTTGTAATTGATCTCGGGGTTTGCCAAGGGTACTGTGGGCGAGAGGTGTGGTTAGAGGTAGTTCGGGAAGATGGCGAGCACTTCAATGGCTTGAGATCATCGGAGGTGAAGAGGAGGAGGTCAAGGCAAGCTTGGAGAGGAAGAGGTTGGCAGTGATAGACCTTGAACACTAATGTAGAGTGTGAGAGAGGGTGTTTAAACATGAGACTTGATTGTATTGTTGTTTTGTGGAGGGGGGTTGGCTTCTGAGCCGTTCTGGGCTAATGGCGGAGTACCATTTTGTGATGATGAAAGGGGGTTAGATGATGATGGAAGTGTAGGTACCCTTTGTAAGGCTAGTAGGGCATCTATTAAGAGTTGTTGGTTCTGTTGAAGAGAGGTGACGCTCTCAATCAACGCACGTAGTTGATCCGTTATGAGTTGGTTGAGAGGATTGTTCTTCTGGAGAGCCGCCGGAGTTGTGTTCCGAGGTTTCCGCCAGGGTCTCCCTACCGCCACCTTAGGATGTCGCTGCTCCAGTTCCAGTTTTCTTTTTGGGTGCCATATGAAGTGAGCACCACTCTTCCCGGACTACCTCTAACCACACCTCTCACCCACAAAGAACCTATACTCCTTAGAATCCTTTCAAGGACTCTCAAGGACTACCTCAAACCCAAGTGGGAGGACAAACAATCGCCCCGCTCCCTCCATTAGCTCCCAGCCAAATACCTCCACCACAAGTTGGATCCATTAGCAGAGCTCCCACTGCAGTGGCTTCGACTGGCTCTCCAGCTCTTCCGCCGGATCAACCCCCTTCCCTTCCCAGCCATTAACACTGGATGTAGTAAAAGAGCAAATACACAGCCTACTCTAGACGAACAAAGGTCACATCCCTGCCTCTCCAGCATTGGACCTTCGTCCCCCTTACCCCATCCACATTGCAAGTCTTCCATATTCGGCAGGATATACAGTACCGAAGTTTGTCCGTTTCGACAGATGAAAAGGGAATGCCGGGGAGCATGTTTCACACTTTCTTGACGCTCTTGGAGCTCACCGAGAGGACCAAAACCTTCGCATGAGAGAATTCTCCAAATCCCTCACAGATCGAGCATTCTCATGGTACGCCAACCTCGCCGCTAACTCTATCTCTTCATGGGAAGACCCCGTAAAAAAGTTTTATATAAAGTTCTTCTACGTTGAAGAAAGGTTAACCATCCTTCATCTTATGAGGAAAACACAATGACTTGGGGAGGACATCCTCGTTTACGTCCGCCACTTTAGGGAAAAAGCAGTAGACATTCAAGACCCAATGGAAGAACACCAACTGGTGTCATTGTGTATCGAAGGGATGCTCATGACTTATAAACTCCAGTTGGTCAACCACCACTTCCCTGACTTTTCCGTTCTATGTACTGCGGCCCGAAACATAAGTGAAACAGTAAGATTAGGGGGCATGAATGACAGCATCACAACCCCACTCATGGTGGCCAACGGCACCTCAACCTTCCTCGTGGAGGCCTAACCGACGCAACCACGCTGTATATGCAACCGAAGGCTCCTCTAGAGAAAGAGGAGACCCGCAGGCAAAAAAGAGAAAGTTTGATCAAATTCTCCCACCGCTACCTATCTCAGTGGACAAGGCATAAGCACTCCTCAATGCCTGGGTAGAAAATGGAAAGGTTCACCTCCCCGAGCCAAGGCGACCTATCACCAAAAAGGATCAAGCGCGGGTAGACTATTGCATATACCACCGTTCCATCAAACATCTTGCTACGGAATATTGGGCACTCAGATCCCTAGTTCGAAAAATGATGTCTGACGACCCTTTGGAGCTACCCTGCCAAACAGAAGATACCTTGAAAGATTCTCTCCCATGCCACAAGGATAACGGCAAGACGGTCATGATGCTTTCGCATTATGACGAGATGGAAGAGTCGATGGTGTGTGAGCTCTTTGAACTCGCAGCTTCCACTTGTCCGGACTTTGAGACCAGGCGTGTGATAGCGCTTAAGAAATCGACAAAGTTCAAATGGTTCTTCGACCAATTCGGCCTGTCTGAAGCAACACGCTTTGAAGCCACCAAAGCCTTTTTAAGACTTGCAGAGCAAAATGGTGAAGCATGCATAAGTGTAAGCGGATCAGTAAGGAAAGTATTTCGGGACAACTCCTTGGCAATAAACTTTACCGAGGCAAACAAACAAGTACTGTTCCCACATAACCGTCCCCTCTACGTCCCAGTATTCATCAATAGGATGGAGTTTCAAAGGGGATTCATGGATGGAGGGGCTTCACTCAATGTAATGCCTTATTCTACTTTCCAGGCAGCTGGGATCCCACAAATGCACTTAGTCAGACAACCCATCTCCATCACCGGTTTTGGAAGCCAAAAAATCAAAACCATAGGTCATGTCCAATTAGACTTAGCAATGGGGCCAATCCGCTCTACCACTAAGTTCCATGTTATAGAAGTAGAGACGACCTATCAGGCTCTGCTAGGGAGAACTTGGCTTCACAGATATGTTGCGATCCCCTCCACCTACCATCAATGTGTCAAAGCAATCTACAACAATGAGGTAGTAGCCATAGCTGGCTCTTAAAAACCCTTTCGAGTAAATGAAGCTCACATGGCAGATGCAGTGTTTTACAATCATGTCGATGAAGATGAACCTCTCCTGCCACTTCAAGGAACTCCCATACCCAATTGGGATGACCTCTCTGAAGAAGATTCATCGCCACCTCTCAGAAAGACATTCACCAAATCAGAGCCCTCAAGAAAGCTCCGTAAAGTCACCAGGTTTCAAACAAAAGATGGCTGAGTGGTATACCGTTTATAACGGTGCGTGGGGTTAGCAAATGTTACCAATACCGACCCCCAGCTAGACAAAGTAGCAATCGCCCATCATGAACCAAGTGGAGAAGATCACTGTTGCTACACCTTGTCTGCGCTGGCCCAACGACCGCCAATGGCAAAGAATAAAAAAAACAAAGACAAGAAGAGTAGAAGGAGAAAAAAAGCTGTGCTTTTTCCAGTAACAGGTAAACACTTTGACAAATTCAATTGTCCTGCAATAACTCATTTGGATGGAGCCCTTGCCAAGGCAACCATTTCATCTCATAACCAAGTCCCTGCCAACTCGGTTACAATCCCAAGCAAGATGGATTACAAGAAGTCCGACCTGTTTCGGAGTGTTTACAAGATGGCCCTCGGCCCCAAAAGCAAGAACTAGAAGAAATCAACATAGCCCCTGAAGGAGAACCCAGGCGTCCTATCTTCATTTGCAAAGATCTGCCAGCAGAACAAAAGGGCCCCCTCATCGAGTTGATCAAGAAGTATTCGGACGTTTTCGCATGGACATATGAAGAAATGCCAGGACTAGACAAAGATGTTACCATGCACCATTTGAACGTCATTCCCCTGGCTCGCCCAGTCAAGCAAGGTGTAAGATTTTATAAGCCCGAGGTGGAGCTCAACATCAAGGACGAAGTGGAGAAGCTGCTTGGAGCAGGATTTATCAAACCCATCCAACATCTTTCCTGGCTTTCTAGCATCGTCCCAGTTATCAAAAAGAACGGTCAAATTTGAGTATGCGTCGATTTCAGAGACCTAAACAAATCTTGCCTCAAAGATGAATTCCCACTCCCAAACATAGACACCTTGATTGATTCAACGGCGGGGCACCATATGTTCTCATTCATGGATGGCTTCAGCGGCTACAACCAAATCAAGATGGCTCCAAAGGATGCCCCTAAGACAGCATTTCGCACTCCCTTAGGTAACTTTTTCTATACTGTAATGTCATTTGGATTAAAAAACACGGGAGCAACATACCAGAGAGCTACGATAGCCATCTTTCACGATATGTTGCACAAATCCTTGGAATATTACATTGATGATTTGATAGTAAAATCCAAAGAAGAGACTAGTCACCTTAGAGACCTCCAAAGAGTGTTTGAACATTGTAAGAAATACAGACTCCGAATGAACCCGCTTAAATGTGCATTTGGAGTCACTGCCGGCAAGTTCCTTGGCTACATCGTTCATCGCCATGGGATAGACCCCGACCCAGCAAAGGTCGCCGCCATAAAAAATATGCCACGACTAACCAATCTAGACGAGTTGAGAACCTTCCTTGGTCGGGCATCTTACTTGAGACAGTTTATCCCAGCTATGGCCGAAATAACACAACCCTTCAATTCATTACTAAAGAAGGATGTCAAGTTCATTTGGAATAAGGAACACCAACAAGCATTCGAAGAAGTGAAGTCAGCTTTAACTTCCCCTCTCTCCATGACTCCTCCTCAGCCGGCGAGGCCCTTACTCCTCTACATCACTTCCATGCTGAAATTAGTCGGAGCTCTGCTCGCCCAGGAAATTGACGGACTCGAACGACCTGTGTACTACATAAGCAAAGTCATCCAAGGGGTTGAGACCCGATATTTCACCATTGAGCGGCATTGCCTCGCCCTAGTCTTTGCCGTCAAAAAGATCCGCCATTACCTTCTTTCTTACCCCATCCATCTTATGACCATGAGTGATCCCATCCGATATCTCCTCACTAGACCAGCACTCTCCGACAGGCCGGCCCGCTGGCTCCTATCATTAGCAGAATATGACATCACTTGCAAAGCTCCCAAGGCCATCAAGAGTCAAGCGCTCGCCGACCTCTTGGCTCACTTCCCCAGTGGAGAACATGAGCCGCCCTTGGATGAATTGCCAAGAGATGAGTTCCAAGCGGATGAAGTAATCACCGAAGGAGAATGGAGTTTGAACTTCTATGGATCGTCCACCTCTAAAGGGGGAGGAGCTGGAATAGTCATTATTTCCCCAAATCAAACTGAAGTCAATTTGTCATATAAACTGGATTTTAAATGCTCTAACAACGAGGCAGAATACGAAGCCCTGATATTAGGGCTTATGGCAGCACTCCACCTAGGAGTAAGTCTCCTATGTATCAAAGGCGACTCTAATCTGGTGGTCAAGCAGACCAATGGAGACTATGCTATCAAAGAGCTCCCTTTGGCCTCATACAAAACCATTGTCTAAAGGTTGAAGAAAAATTTGACATGGTAAAGATAGAACACGCTCCTTGCTCCAATAATCGACACCTGGACTCTCTTGCTACCTTGGCTTCTAAGGTAGAATTCGCGGAAGAATCAACTAAGATAGAAGTTCTGAAGCGCTCCATGCTGTGCTCAGTAACAACTATCTTTCCCAAAAAAGAACCCGCCGACTGGAGAGCCCCAATCATCGACGAGCTCTACGCCCTCTCAGGTAAACTATCTTTGTGCAAAATCAAACACTTCACGATTTACTAAGGAGTCCTCTACTACAGAGGGCCTGGGAGTCTGCTAGCACGATGCATCGACCTTACCAAAGCCAAGTCTAAGCTAGAGGGGGTTCACAACCGTTCTTGCTAAATAGGAGACGTAAGCCTCTATAGGAGGCTACAACAACAAAGATATTATTGGCCTACCATGGCCAAGGAAGCAAACGACCTTCAAGGAAAGTGCACCAAATGCCAGGAATTCCCTCCAAAAGCTAAATGCAATTTCACAGATTTCACCTCCGACTGGCGTCAGGTGTATATAGATTACCTCAAAGAAGCATCATTGCCGCCAGACCGCTTCGCAGCCCCAATAATCAAGAAGCGAGTTCCGAAATTCTTTTTGCAAGAAGGGCAACTTTTTTGGCATGACTTGACGAGAAGCCTTTACGCTGCTTATCAGGAGCAGAAATCTATAAAGTTTTAGAACTTGCTCATGGGTCGGAGCACCAAGGTGGAGCCACGCTATTCCAACATCTTTTGCATATAGGTTATTATTGGCCTACCATGGAAGCAGACACCAAAATGTATGCCAAATGCTGCAAACCTTGTCAACTCCATGGAAACCTTATTCACGCACCAGCCACCGATCTGCATAGTTCAAGCTCACCATGGCCTTTCCACACGTGGGCTATGGATCTTATTGGCCCTATCTCTCCACCGTCAAAGGGACACATATGGATTGTAACGGCTACAGAGACTTACACTACGTGGGTAGAAGCCATCCCCCTGAAAAAGGCAATAGGAGCCACTGTCTCTAATTTCATTCGAGAATTCATTATATGTCGTTTTGGTATACCCAGAGTAATCCTGTCAAATAATGGGACCCCTTTTGTCAACCGCTAAGTCGGGCAACTCTTGGTCTCCTACGACATCACACACCATAAATCAACACCTTACTATCCCCAGGGGAATAGACAACCTGAAGCAACCAACAAAACACTCCTTAAAATCCTTTCAAGAACTCTCAACAATGACCTTTTTTTTTCCTTTTTTCATATGGAGTATAGGTTCTTTGTGGCAAAAATACAATGTATATATATATATACTTGTAAGAATTTATGTATTATTGATTGATGTCTTGATTGATAGATTACAAGATTGATGTATTACAATTCCTATACAATCTATATATAGAAGAAAATGTGGTAGTAGGTGTAGTGGAGGTGATAGTGGGTTAGGTGAAGTGGAGTGTGTGGTGAAGTGGAGGTAGGTGAAGTGGAGTGTGTAGTGGAGTAGGTGAAGGTAAAGATGAAAAATTCTAACAATACTTATAAATATATATACATACTAAGATTGTACCTTCCCAAGGAAAAATCCTTAAACCAATCAAAAATTCTCTTTGCTTATTACAAACACTAAAAACAGACTACAATAACCTTAGACTCTCCAAAAAGCTATTGTACGCTACCATGGCAGCTCAAAATCAGCAGCTATTAATGGTTTGCTCTAAAGCTAATTCATATCCACTTGCCAACACTCTCCTCTTAACTTCAACAAGCCATTCTCTCTAAATGGCTTCCGGAGTAGAGGGGCACCGAGATAACATCGTTTGGCGGCCGGTGAACAAGGCTCTAAACCAAAGAGGTTCAAAATAGAGAGCTTCAAGCTCCATTCTACTCACCACCGCTGCCCGGTGTGTTAGTTCTTTCGAAAGATGCTCCCCATCCTTCCACGGCAATTCCAAGATCTGCTATTCGAATCCCCTTGGATCCAACACCCAATATTCACTCATACAGTCATAAAGGTGCCGGAAGAATTCCGAGGTAAAATAAGAGGACGGTACAAGGCACTAACCATTCCAGAACTCTACACAATACCATTGTCCCACACTTGGTTTTTGCTAAACCAAGAAATCAACCTCACTCTCTAGGGATCCACCTGCCAGGCAAATCAGGTATTAATCCCACATTTCAAGAGGATCCGTACCAATATCCTCTTACAAAAACCGACATTGAGAGATCTAGACCACCACATCTCCATCATGTCAACACCGTTGGAAAACCCAAATGAAGATTTGGGACTTGGGTGAGACACAGAGAGCTTTGCAGATCTCAACATGGGAGAAGAGAGCGCTTCCCGCAACGCTCAGCCAAACATCCCCCAGAACATTCCGGTCAACATCCTCTTCTTCAACACTGAGGGCGTCGCTCGCCCTAACTTCCTCCAACACTACATGCACCTACATTCTAGCGGACTCTTCCACCTCGTCATCATTACAAACACGAAAAAGGGGAAGTAAGGCCCAATTCATGAGCCAAATCATGGGCTATCCTAACACCAAAGGCCATGGCCCCCTCTTAGCGGCATGGAAAGGGTGATGGGCAGAATTTGGTGCCCTATGGAACGGAGCTGAAATCTCCTGTGAAGTGGTGGAGATTCCGTGGAATCAAGCCATCGCCCAACAAGCCCACATCTTCATCCGGCTGGCTTGCTCTGGATGAAACTTAAAATGTAAACTCTCCATGAGCAATCCAAATTCCCCCATTGTATCAAAAGCCTAATTTTAGACGACTCTATTTGAATATTTGTCTGCATGAGCTAATATTTTCAAACTTTTTAACACAGTCATGTACAAATACTCTCATTAGCTATAAGAGAATCTGTACAGGGGGCATTATTGTGGGTACTTGTATCAAGCCTAATACATGGCAAGCCCTACAGGTGTCACATCACCAAAACCCTACCCATGTGGCAGACCAATAAGGCACCACGAGGGCATGTCGTATGTTTGATACATGGCGAGCCCTACAGGCGCCATGTGCTAAGGCACTACGTAAAACCAAGTCTATATGCTTAGCCTAAGCGGGAGCATACATATAAGCCCAAATATATTCAGATATGAAGAGCCTTGCAACAAGCAGCACCATGGCCCTGTAGGGCCCATGGTCCTTCATACCTCGCTCCAAGACCAAAACAACAATACAATCAGCCCCCAGTTCACTTAGACTTGGATTGATAAACACTGGCTCTCCTAAATATTGAGATAGGCCTGTGACCTATTCTCCTACTTGGTTACTTAGAAACGAGCCCCTCTCCTAAACATTGAGATATGCCCGCGGCCCATTCTCGTGCTTGGTCGCTTGGAAGCGAGTCCTGGCTCTCCGAAACATTAGGGTGGGCCCTAGCCCATTCACCTACTTGGATGCCTGGGTTGGGAGCAAGACCCAGGCACTACTGCTCGAGATCATCAGAGGATACTGGACTGGCGGCTGAGGTCAGGGGATCGTCGAGATGGTTGTCTTCTTGCTAAGACGACTCCATCTTGACCAGGTTTGGAGAAGAGGCAACAATGACCTTACATTCATGTCATCCGATGCACATACGAAACGTTACTTTCCGCCTGCCATGAAACGTTGCTCTCCGCTTGCCGTCAAGCCACAGACGGCAGAAGGGCTTACATCACTTCTGGCAGAGTTGAGGAGAACGAGCCACCTATCCAACAGTTTGCTTGGGCTCCAATACTCTTGTGGCCTATATAACATATCGTATATGTAGCGAGGCACAACAACAATACAACCAAGTCTCATGTTTAAACACCCTCTCTCACACTCTACATTAGTGTTTAAGGTCTATCACTGCCAACCTCTCCCTCTTCAAGCTTGCCTTAACCTCCTCCTCTCCACCTCCGGTGATCTCAGGCCATTGAAGTGCCCGCCATCTTCCCGGACTACCTCTAACCACACCTCTCACCCGCAGGTACCATAGGCCTTGTAATTAGATGGAACTTCAATGCGCAACAAAAAATTTGTACACTATTCCCCCCCCACCCCCCCCCCCCCCCTGGAAAAAGAAAAAAAAAAAAAAATCACTTAGCTTAGAGAATTCGTTGTCCATCTATTTCATCTGCTATTTTATACATGTCCAGGGAATATTGGAACACCAAAACTCCTGGTACTTACCATTGCATCTGTTGTGACACTCCTCTATTTGAGTAAGTAGCATACTTTTATTAAGCGTTCTGCTATAAGAACTGTCAAGTGTTTTCTTTTCTTTTCTTTTTCCAACTTCCCATGGAACTGATTGGTGCTATATATATATATATATATATATTCTGTCCTCTAGATCATCAACCAAATTTGATAGTGGAACTGGTTGGCCATCTTATTATCAAACCATAGGGGACAATGTGAAGTCGAAGTTGGATTTGTCAATTATTTTCATGCCTCGCCAAGAAGTTCTTTGTGCAGCTTGTGATGCTCATCTTGGCCATGTCTTTGATGATGGCCCACCCCCCACAGGAAAGCGTTATTGTATCAATAGGTAGATACTTTTTTACTTCAATTTTCTCCTTGCAATTTATAGTGTTTTTGTTTTGTTTTGTTTCATTATCTTGATACTACATGTGAATGTCTTCACAGCGCTTCCTTGAAACTGAAACCGAAGTAGAAGACAACCAAGCATACAAGAAGGATAATATCTGTGTCAAAGCAGATCAGATTGAGACACTTGTGTATATTTTTACTCAATTATAGACCAGTACTTGTTGTTTTAGCTCTTAATATGTGAAAATTACTTGAATATTATTGTTTATGCTAAACATTCGTCAAGGTGTGATGAATGTCATACTTGAGGTGGAATTACAGATTCAATGATCAAAACTCTACGATGTGATGGCAGATATTTGTATTTGTGGATGTTTTTCATACCAAGTGCCAGTCCAAGAGAACTTATGGATTGAGACAACGTTTTATTTTTGTTTTCCATAGTGGCGCTCCATCTTTTGTTGTAAAGAATGTTAATATTCTGCTATGCTTCTGATTTAAATTTGAAGGGACAAAGAGATTGTTGCTATCTGCTGTATTAGTAATTTTCCATCTCTTCCTAGTTTCATACTGTGAAATGTTCAATATAGCAAGAGAGTTACACTAATAAATTTTGGAATGTAACAAATCAAAATCAAAGCTTGAAAAAGAGGTCTGCTAAGATAATATTGATGTAGCATTCTTCGCAGCTCTCATAACCTGTGCTTGTTTACCACGAGCAATGCTATGGATCCGAAATGGACCCAAAACTCATATATATAAATGGACCTATAAAATTACTGTGGTCTAAATTTATTTTAAGTGTGGGTTGTATCATACAATCGTTGGATTTGGAGTAGTCACACATTATTTTTTTGATAAATTTTTGCCTATGAATTCTCGGTCGTATTAACTGGCATACAACAAGCCATTAAATCGTTTAGTCTTAATTGGCCTCTTCAGAAATGGTGTCTTGGTATGTCCTATTAGATGGCTCCGAGAGCCTAATGTGTATAAATTGTGGTTACAATGCACGAGGCTTGGAAAAGAAAAGATGTACGCAATTTTATCGTACCTGCGGATAGATTCTTTTTTGATTCGAATATATAATGCCGAGATTACAATAGAGCAAACTTAACAAAAATAGCTATTATGAATTCAATCAAAAAAATAAAAGAAAATAAAAGTAGGAATAAAAAATACGTGCAAACTAGCAGACAGCCAAACGAGTCGTTGTTCGAACTAAAGAATCTGAAATTCATACTTAAAAGATTCAAATGAAAATGATTGTTGTAAGATTGAAATTATTCTTAGATTGGTTTTTCTTTTGATAAGAGAAATAAGTTTGGTTTCTCTTTGTAATTTTTTTAGTTTTCCCTCTCCACCTTGCTATGTAAATAAAGTCTGATCAATTTTTTTTTTACCAAAACTGTATTTAGATCATGAATTTAAATAGAAATTAAAAAAAAAAACAAACAAACAAACAAAGTGAAGAAAATTTTTTAACTTATATTTCATTTCATATTACTCTCATATTTTCTTTTCCATTTTTGAATTCTTATCTAAATTCATATTCCAAACACATCTCTTGTAGATTGTAATTGATTTTAAAAATACACCAAACTTTCTAATTTTTTATATATTGACTATGAAGAAAAAAGTAGACAAAGATTATTATTATTATTTTTTACAAACTTCTTTTTTCAAATTAAGGTGGAGCATCTAATGATAAAATTTTAAAAAGTGAAATAGCCCAAATCAATTAAAATGGTTTCTTGCCAACAAATACTTGGATGGTACACAATAGGGTGAGCAGCGAGTGTATCGATTCGTCTAAATTGACCGAATCAAATCGATCTGTCACATTTTAGATAAATGCGTAATGACAAACGGATGGTTACGGATTGTTTTTTCCAATCCGCCTAGTTTTGAACAGATTGACGGATTGGAGGTTCCTTTAGCCGCAACCAAATCGCCAAACTGCAATCACCTTTAGTAATTTGTAAGACTTTATATTTTCAATTTGTTTAGATATTCTGTTTGTGTTTTCAATTGAAAAAGAGTTTAAATATTTTGTTGAAAAAAAAGTTTCAAGTTGAATATATTTTTTGAATTGAAAAAAAACAAATGTATTATTTATCTATATTTTTTGTTTTTAAATCTAACAGTAAAAATAATAAATAAAAAATGATATATGCTGGTTGGTTTTTGTTTTTAAAAACAAATATAGATGTAAAATTACAGAGGCATACAATCTCTACTACTACTCTGTTCATAGTTTTTGTGGTTTGAATTATTTTTATATTTTAAGAATCACGTATTGTAACACTTTATGTGAATGAGCTATGTGATTGTAATATGTACATGAGGTATGTAGTGATTGTAATACTTTTTTAAGTCATTTACTGTAATATATTGTAATACTTTCTTCTTCTTTTTTTTGAGGAAGTGCACAAGTTGAATTATGTTGAAAATTTATAAAATTTTAAACCTCCAAACCGATTCACATCTATCTACCAATCCGCTCAATCCACATTCGCCGGATTAGTGGACGGATGTGAATTGATTTTCTCCAATCTACCAATTTGACGGACGGATGGCGCATTAGAGGTTCTGTGGCGGCAACCGACCCGTACCCACCCCAGTATACCAAAAAAAAAAATTTAATTAAAAAAATTGAAAAACACAATGCATTATTTTACAAATTTTAAAACACTTTGAAATTGATAACTTCTTTGAAAATTTTTAGTATTTTTTAAACAAAAATGATTGATTTACCAAATAAGTCACGTTCGGTCAGATAACCAGCCGGACAATTATCTAGACAATCGGTATGATCCTTGTCAATTACAATTGTCGCTTTTATTTACTAGTGTATCAACTAATATCCTATCACATAATTGACTAAACGACTCTTTGGATGATGGACTGAACAATCGACACAAATTCAAACAATTTTAACAAGTCTAAATTCAAGCAATGCTTAAGGATATTTATTAGTAGTTACCTTAAAATAATAGGTATACATGATTTGTAAACAAAGTTTGTAAATTTTGTTTATTTGAAACCATTCTTATTACGCGGACATGGCGCAATACTATTGGACAGAGTAGGGTTGACGCAATCCACTGGATCTTTTTGGACCAATTTCAACAAGCAAGGAAAAGCCTGAACTGCCAGGACATCACCAACCGTTACTGAACAGCCGTCATGTTTTTTTGCTTTGCTTAGAGAGAGAAAGAGATAGATAGCGGGAGAATAGAACTTTGAAAACGTTTATATTTTTCGTTTAAGAAAAAAAAAAACGATAAACAAGTTTAGTTTGAACAGAAAAAAAAAACTTCTTTCCTTTTGGTGTAGTCTTTTTTTTTAAAAAGAAACCCCCCCCCCCCCCCTCAAGAGAGACAGAGAGAGTTCTGACAGTAGAGAGAGAGAGAGAGAGAGAGGGCACAATCATGGGGTCTAATAATGTAGAAGTTGATTACTCTTGTTTGAAGGATCTTAGATTGGAAATCAATGGTGAAGAAGCGACTTTCTCTCTTTGTTTCTGGCTTTACCTCTCCAACTCCACTCCCTTCTTTCCCTCTACTATCCTTCGTCAGGTCTCTACTTCTCTCTCTCTCTCTCCCTCCTTAACTTTACTCGCTCAATTTTCCGTATTTAGATTTCCAAGTTTGTTTAATTCTTCAACATTAGGCGTTCATACAAAGCTATTTTTCTTTTTAGCAGGTTTACTTATCAAATTATTTCTTTTGCCCCCCTTTTATATATATATAGTTATGGTGATTGCCTTAGGTGCGCTTTTGTTGTTGGGATCATCATATAGAAAAAAGTGGTTCTTGAGTAAAGAATCTAGAAATTAGGGTTGTGTTTGGATGAGGGAAAGGAAAGCTTTTCTAAATTGCTATCCAAATCCATGATCTAAACACAACCCAAAGGAAACGGAAAGTGAAAAAAGAGTAGCTTCTCATGTAAAGAATTGGCCGACGTGATATATGTAGGAAAGCTGAGTTTCTCTTTTGACACACTAAATATTGATGTGTAAATGGTTACTAATCAATAAATTGATGTATGAATTGTGGATAAGGGTGTGAGGGAAATATTTCTTCCAAGGAAACAGTTATGTGGTGGCCTCATTCTTTTTCTGTCAACCAGATGCATAAACATGAAGGAAAACAGTTTTGCTTTTCCCTCGTGTAGCCTAACTGCCCTCTTTTCTTATGAACTAATAATCAGAACGGAATGGGTTCTGCTATTCTTATCTCAGCAATTTTCATTAGTACTTAATTCACATTGCAAAATTAGTGGGAGTAATTCATATCATATTTTACAGGATGCATGTGATGATGACGAAAAGAATTTAATCAAATTTTGGCCAAATATGGTTATTTTAATGAGAATTTGCTATAATTAGCATTTCACTATATGTGCTCTATCTCTATTCATGGTGGATGAGTGGTTCACTTCATGTAACTTTTGTATGCAGATGTGCTCAGAGACCAGATGCAGTGTTCCTTTCCTTGTGTTGGATGAGAAGAAGAGAATGATGCTTTTGCCACTGCTTTTTCTACATAAAGAAGCACCCAGTCCTGACAATCCTACTCCATGGACAGAAATTCCACATGCATCTGCCAAGATTGTTTTCCCTTTTGAAAAATGGGTTCATGTTGGATGTGAGGCATGTTATAAACATTTAAATGTCCAACTATTGATGTGATAGAGTTGACTAACCAATTCGGGTTGCTTTCATGTTGTTGATTTTTTCTTTTGATTCTGTATCAGGGAACTTAAATATAGCATTTATAAAAAATTATATCATGGCTTTATCAACAAACAGATCTGACTTATATATATTTGGCAACCTTGTGTTTGGTTTTGCATGTATACTTAGTGAAATTTATAATGGGACCTTGTGTTTAAAGAACAAAGGTTGAAAGTATGCACTTCATGAATTGATTAGATTCTGGTCTGGGCATCCGAAAAAGATGATCTTATGGTTAAAAGATCTCAGTGCTTAGGCTTTAGGGTTGGGAAAACTGTCTTTCCCTTCCCCTTTCTCTTTACAATTCTTCAGTTTTATGCTTACGAATGTTAATATTGTCCCCTTTCTCATGAAAACTTCAATAAATGCATTGCCAATAAATGGGTTAGTAAATTGTTTACGAAGAGTGTGAAGACATATAAGGATTAAAATGGTAATACTCTTTTATATGATAAAACGGTGATGGAAATTTCTAAATATATAGTGTAACAACCTCTCGAGGAAATAGTTTTGAACAACAATTAAAAATGTGACATACTTTACGACTATTGATGTTATTTACAATTAACATTGGCAGAAACTAAATTCAAAAGCTTAGTAGGATTGAAAGCGTTGATGTCACTATACGAAGTTCAAGTGAGATATGGACTTGGTCAAGGTTCTGATTGGCTTCTTTAAGTTACTTATTCTTGTCAATTCAGTCTGTCCTTGTTTTAGATTTTCATTCTTTTCTGGATATGTTTATGAAATGGTCATTGTTGGTCAAGGTTCTGATCGATTGGCTTCTTCAAGTTGCTTATTCTTGTCAATTCAGTCTGTCCTTGTTTTATATTTTCATTCTTTTTCTGGAGGTGTTTATGAAATGGTTATTGTTGATGCATTCATGTTAGGTTGCTACTGATCTAGTGCGGCTTCACGTTGATGGGGAGATTGTGGGAGAGAAGCCTCTGACTTCCTCATCAAGCAGTGACTCCAACTCACATGGTTTAAGAAGAGTGTCTTTGGCTGGCGCTGATGGAGATGATGATAGGTTCCATGGTTATGTCCATGGTCTGGAATTCCTGCATAAATCATCATCTATCAAAGACCATTTTGTTAAGGTGCATACTCATTGTATATTCTATCTTTTTTGCTATTATTGCTCATATGCTTGTAAAGTCACTTAGTTTGCCACAAGTATTTTTGTCTGATACCAGGATCCGCCTCTGCAATTATCCATTGATGGCTCAAGTGCCTCTGAGATTGAAGAAGACAATGATGGTGTTTGGAGTATTGTTGGTGGCAAGGTTAATGGAATTATATTTAATTATATTTTTACTTTGTAAGCCATCATCCATATCAATTTTTTGCTTATGAGAAACTGAGTCATATTTTTACCATTCTTTTATACAAGTGTTATCCTTTTACCACCCCCCCCCCTTTTTTTTTTTGCAATATTGCTATTGAACATGATGCAAAAAGTGTGTGTGAATTTAGATGATGCATGGGTTAACCTTTTCAGTCTTCTGAGGATTATAAAGTCAATCTGTCATTTTTGCCTTCGATAATGTGCCCACACATCTCTGTCATGTTTTTAATGTTTAGGCTCTTCTAGGATTATATGACATCTTAGTCTTGTAATTTTTTCCACATCAGATTGTTAAAGTATATGAATGTTTCACCATTAAGAAGTCTCAGTCTTGCTTATTTTTCTGTGGAAGGCATGGGTTAACTAAGTTTGTTTGTTTTTCTTGTATTTGGGAAGCCAAAAGTTGGCTTTTTTTGGCTAAAATTCACAAAAAGACCAAATAGGCTAAAATAGCCAATAAGACAAAATGTCACATCAAATCTATAATCATTTCACTTTTTCTCTCACTAACATCACATTCAACTACAAAAAAATCCAATCCTCTTCCCAAACACAAATATTTTAGTCTACTAAAATAGCCAAAAATTAAAATAGCCTATTAAATTAGCCAACTTCTCAACCGAGGCCCCTATGAGGAGATTCTAAAATTCCTACAAGGTCTAGACAATAGATGTCAAATCAACATTTGAATCACAAACTAAAATCTCAATTTCCCAATCGCAAATCTAATTAGATTGTAAAATTGTACTAAATATAAAAGTTCAAAATTCGAAATGATTATGCCTCGTTGTACGAGGGTAAAATGCCTCACGTTACGCATTCACCTTTAAAAACTGTGTTAGTTATGAAAGATCTAATTTTCACACCTAACTAAAGCCTTGAGTTTGGAGAGTTGAATTTCCCCGCCAAGCATTAAAGTCTTATTTATTTCCCATGGAGAGAATACATTAAATGCCAACTAACATAATGTTTTACATGCTACTTTATTTTTGGTCAAGTTAATGAAACTAATATGAAATTTCTTCTGATGCATTTTATTTTGTCTATTTGGTGGGAACACAGGCATCTTGTCGTAGGAATTTTTCCTTGGATGTAATCTTATTGGATGTCTTTGGCAAGCGTGAGCGTGAGCTCATGAACAAGGAAATGGAGGTTTTCATATTTGGCCTTTACATGCTGTATAAAGTGACGTTATTTACATATAAAATTTTGAGATACTTATTTGTATCCATTTCTTGTCTTGTCAGGTTGTTGCTTCACTTATTTATGCTGACAACGGGACACCTGTCGAGAAGCCAAATGATGCCGAAGCTCCCCTTCTAACAAGTTATGATGGAATTGAGTTTGCTTGTTGTGATAGACCAAGTAAACTAATCAATGGTCGTGCTTCCTTTAAGCTCAAGATATCCCAGGTGCTAATATTATTATGAAACATAGCATTTGAATCTCTTTCACTAATATTAATGTAGATATGCATTTCTTGGCAGCATGGAAAATGAGGGATATAACCGTTGTTGAAGGACTCCCATACATAGCTACAGTGGTAGCTCTAGGATTTTTCTTCGCTGGGATCAATAAAGAACCGACACATATCCATTTTCAATAATTTGACAAAAATAATTTTAAATTTTTTACAACAAAAAGCTTAGTACAATTACTAATGTTTTTGTATGTATATATATACAAATACATATACTTCTACATTGTCCTTGATTAGTTTTCATATTTTGAAATCATTTTATAATTGTGTCATTATCAATACTATCAAGTATTACATTTTCAATTTATGTGATTAAACAATCATTCATCCACTAGACCAAAAGTCTTTATTCAATGATATCACTTTCTATTTCATACCTATCATTGTCTCAATTATAACCTTGTGCCTCAAGGTGTGAAATTGCATATTTAACACCCGGAGCACCTTTTTGGTGTTAGCTTTGACTGGAATCTGAATATAATTTTCCAAATCTTTAGTCTTTTCTAAGTCACTCTGGAGGTAGGTTTTTAATTTCTTCTTTAATGGTCATTATTGTCGTTTTCATTAGAATATTACCCCTTTGTACATGGATTGTTTCACTGTAGGACTGGAATGATAGTGTGCCATATCATGTAATCTAAAATGTAGTATGATACAGGTTGGTTAATATGGTATACATAGTTGGACTGTGTTGATGCATTTACAAATGCTAGAATAATATTCTTTCAAGCGGAAGGGTTATTACTTATTTTTGAAACATAATATTATTATGTTGCTGGAGTTGTTCAGCTAATTTAAAATTTTTGTTTTATCGGATCAAACCATTTAATGACATATAGAACTTACGGCTCCCTAATAAGTTGAGTTATTATTAATTTACCCATGGCTTCTCAGTAATCTTCACCCAAAAGAACTCTTAACTTTATAGACTGTAGGATCTCTCTCTCTCTCTCTCTCTCATGTTTTATGCTTATTATTATTAAGATTGAAAAACAAACTGAGGAAAGAAAAAGGTCTAAATCTTTAAATTTGGTGTTCTGGAATGAAACTGTATGCTGTTTCAAAAAGTGCCTTCCAAATGCAATTTGCTAGGTTATTACCATCAAGTTCTTAACTAATGGACCTTGCTGTTACTCTGTTGATTGATCACTGATTTAGTTGTTAAGGGCAACTTGAAGTTAGAGGTCAACAATTGAAAAGTATACTTCAACACTCCATCACCTACCACCACTACCACCTCACCTACTCCACTAAACCTAACCCACTACACCACTATCACCATCCACTACACACCATCCACTACACCTACATCTATATAAGGAACCATTTGTAATAGACAGTAAATAACAACACAATACATCAATCAATAATACAGTATTTTTTTAATATGATTTATGAACTACCCAGTTGAATTTAGACATCATTGGGCATCCATTAATTGTGTCACTATTGAAAAGGTCCTAGCTTTTGATATTAATATTCAGAATCATTCAATTTTTTTTCTTGTTGCAAAGAGACAGACTTTAGCACTTGCTATCCTGTTAACAACTGGCATGTGTACCTGAATCTACCAGAACTGTCAGTGACTGAATCTTCTTTTCTTGTTTCAGCTTTCATCTAAGTGTGATAATAGGCTTTTCCGCATTAGGTTTGACATTCCAAAAATGGGGAGATATCCTTTCTTTGAGACATTCTTTGGTCCAATTCGTTGCGTTTCACGGAATCGTAATACACGGGCTTCTTCTCTGATGTGGAAAAAATCAAACTCTGGCATCCATTTACTCGGTGCATCTCCGTCTTCTGGGTTGGATAATGGATCCTTAGAACTTCTGTACAATATTGTAAATGAAGCAAAATTAAACCCATCATCAAAGCGGATGAAATTAGGACAAGAAAATCGATTAGCAACTTGTAAGGCTGATCTCACCATGGACCGAACTGATGAGGAATGCAACTCTCGTGCCTGGACAGCTGATGAGGTATATATTTTGTTGTTTTAACTTTTTTTGACATTATTTTCATTCATGAAGTATGTGCGAATACAACTTATACTACATGGACTTGTCTGAATGTGTGGCTTATCCATGTGACACTTTGACACTTGAGTGTATGAGATGTACTAAACGTGCGTAGTTGGACGTTCACCAGGCATGCATGTCTAGCAATTCAAGTTTCCGTATAAATATGCATGGAATGCTGTGTCACCTTCTAAACAACATTTTATACTATAAATTAAAGAATAATATTAACAAAGACAAGTATTATGACATGCTACAAAGGTTATTCGTCGAAGTTGTGAAATGGGGGCCTCAAATGAACTGTAGTTTCTTCTACAAAGATTTATTTTATCTTTAAAGAAGCTTCTGAAGGTTTCCACTCTCCATGTCTCTCTCGTTTTGCTCCCTTTAATTTCTTTCTCGTCATTGAATGAAGACAAGGTCTTGTCAATCAATCGATTAATTTTGTCAAGGAGTCAGTTCTCTCTCTCTCTCTCTCTCATTTATCTACCTACCTATATTGGCCTCTGTATTTAACTCAATCTTGTATCTTCTTGTTTTTATCTAGATTTGGTTATTTGGATTTTGTTTAATATTGCATAAGGTCACTAAACTTACCAAGGAAAACAACTTAAATATAGTAGGAATAAAAACATTTAAAGCATGTATTTGATAAATCCTTAAGAGGGAAAATAATTATGAAAAAATAAAAGAAAATCCTTAAAGAGGGAAAATAGTTTATTCCAGTAATTCAATGTGTTATTGAAATTTTTCAAAAATATCTATCTCATAATTTTCATGCATAATCTTTCGAATTGTACTTCTTGTCCTCATTGATTTTCGTTATCAAATTTGGTAGCTACAGTTTGCAGTAGACAAAATGTACAAAGAAGGAAAAGACCAATTGCAGAGATTTTTCTGTAAGCAATCACAAAATGTCCGGAACAAAACATTATTTTCAATTTTTATGGGACTATTGATTTAGGATTATCATGCCTTCAAGATCAGGAACATCTATTTCTAATGACATTAGCCCGGGTAGATTTAGTTTGGCAGAGAATTTTTACCTAAAATAGACAATCAAATTAATGATAAAACCATTCTTTTTATCGAATGAAATTTTTGGCTTATGTAATAGGCCAATAGCCTTGTAAGTATGAAACTTGAACTGGAATCTTCAGTTGACAAATAAGTGGATCTACAGAAAAAGGAATTACAAGGGAAATATGCAGTAGAGAGGTGCACATAAATTGATAAGTTAGTGGGAATTTTGTCACTTATAGAATGGAGTGAGAAATCAAATTGTTCAGAATAGGATATTATGAGAAAGAAACATAGAAGATAATTATTAATAAACTTTTTTCTCCTGGAAAAGATATCACAGGCTATGAGAAATTTGTGTCTGTGCCATGTGCACATCAAGATGGAGCTTTGGTGTACAGTTCAGATCCATCAAATACTGCTTGCTACTATTTTATATAAGCTATACCTCTTTTTTTGTTAACATTCTTAATATGATGGCTATAGGTATGGGGTGTTCTCGTTGATATTAATTTCATTTTTTGACACTATATTTGTTATATTTTGACACCTGGGTCTCAGCCTATCACCATTGTGAATTAGGATGATAATGCATATGGAACTTGTTTAGAGAGGAGACCAGAAAACCATGAAGAGACAGACAACTCCCCATCTGATTCAGAGAGTATTGAAGGAAGAAACTTGGACTTCAAGAGCATGTCTGGTAATAGGTGTCCGGTTACAGATTTGGCTATCTTCAAATACTGCCTGGGAGGATTAAATGAGAGGGCTCTTTTGCTCAAGGAGATGGCAACAGCAGCTTCTGAAAAAGAACTTGCAAACTTTGCACAGCAGGTTTCCCTGTACTTGGGATGTTCCCATCATGGGTAAGCCACAAAATATTTAATATTCTGGATTATTAAATAGTATGTGATTTTTTGGCATATTTGTTGGCATCTGTATAGTAAAAACCATCTTCCATTGTGGTCTGTTACCAATGTTTGTAAGGACATATATACATTTTGACAAGTATAAGAACCATTCCAACCACTTCAAGTCCCTACCCAATCTATCTTTAGGACCCTCCCTTTTACGCTGCCTTTTACTGCAAACAGAGGTCCTCTGTCTCTGACCTTCAAAAGCTCCATAATCTCTTTCTGAATCCATTCACAAGAAATCCCCGTAAAACAGCTAAAGCCCCATCCTTTTTAGCACCCGATCAGACACCATCCTCTGTTCAGCTTCGCACCTCTCAACACCTATAGCCCCAGAATCAGCCCGATGCAAGAGGCAAAACTGCCAAAGGATTGCGGGCCAAATGCTGTCTAAGGTCATGCTCGGTCACTCTGACTCTCATCTGTGGGTTATCCACCACCCTCTCCACCCTACTAAGCTCATCCCTAAATACAGCAGCCTCTTCCCCCAACTCAGAATCCATGGCCACCCCTTGAGTACAAAACTGGTCTTTAAAAACTCCAGGAACCCCAGACCAATCTGGAACAATGGCCAAACGCCCACTGATAAGTAATAGAGGCTTCTTGAAATATTCCCCAACCTCACCTCTGGCGCTCCAATATTGAAGAAAATGTTTTTTCCAAATTTTTTTCTTTGTGATAATAAAAGTTACTTATTTTGCTATGTTGATTTTCATTTATTTGATATTTCCACATGGTATGATGTTTTTTATTGCATTACACAATTACACAATTCTTGTAGTCATACTATATTTTTTCTTAACACCAACCCCCCCCTCCAAAAAAAAAAAAAAGAACAAAAAATCAATATTTAAATAGTGCAGACCCAGTGGAATCTAATAAGGCATGTCCAGGGTTGGAACCTACTACTTGATTCTCACTGTCAGGAGATATCACGATTTGCCAATATCACTCTCGGAAATGAATGTACTGTTTTTAAGCTTTATGCACTTCTACTTCCTTTCTAGTTGTTGACAAAGAAGCAACAGAGTGTGTGCCACTTTTCTGGATGAATTTTGGTGTAATGTTTTCTAACTGGATTGATATTGGAGTTGCTTCAATCCTTTATGTTTCCCATGTGATACACCACCTAAAAATGACACGGAGGATCTACACGGTAGATGCCATATGTTTCGTCATCCCACTTATAAATATGAATATTGTATATATTTTCAGGCACCAAATAATAATTGCAAAGAAATTGGTAGAGGAGGGAACAAAAGCTTGGGAGCTGATCTCACAGAATAACCCCAATGTTCATTGGGAGAATGTGGTTTCTGAGATAGAACAGCGTTTCAGGAAGATTGTGTGTTGCAGTTCCAGATCTTTAACACAACAGGTCTCTCTCTCTCTCTCTCTCTCTCACACACACACACACACACACTCCATCAACGCATGCATGCACATGTGAATGCCCATTTATGCATTTACACAAAATTACCACTTATGGCTGTCTTAAGCCTCAAATGCTTGTGATTTGGAATTGATTAAACTGGCTGTAGAAAAAACCTGGCTTGAGCCGTGATGGTGACATCAATAGGACACATATATCTTACAGTTGAGCCGTGATGGTGACTCTGTTGTCTGGTTGTAATCGTTAAGTCCAGTGTTTTACATTTATTTTTCCTTTCTTGTGTACTGATTCGTGGGTGTTCTCTCAAGTCTCAAGTTCTTAACCATAAACACTTTTTGGTCATTTTTATCTCCAGATGACATCCGCGCACTTTTGCACCAAGATTTTTTAAATCTTTGTACCTCTCTAGTAAGATTTTTGTTACTAGGCTTTTTTTGTCATGCTATGTTTGTTGGAGCATGATGAGGCAGGGGTCACTTCAATATTTTATGTGAAGATGTTTTTTTGTCATGCTATGTTTGTTGGAGCATGATGTGGCGCAGGGGTCACTTGAATTTGTTAATGTGAAGATGTTTTTATCTAGAACCGAAGGTTATCTGACATTGACCTAATGCCTAGTTACATCTTTTAGAAAGAAACTTACAGCGGTACAAGCATTATCATGAATAATGAACCATAAACCCTTTGTCGTTCCTCTGTTATATGACGGGGCATCACCACCTCTAATGCCCATTTTAGGGTTGTTTTGTATTGCTGTCGTTTGATGATCAAGAAATCATATAGTAAAAACTTGACAGGACTTAAAATGGATGATTTAATGGATCGATGTATATTGCACAAAAAGAATGATGAAGTGTTTATCTAATATTAATGTAGAAAATTTAATGTATAAAGAGAAATAGAGAATTGTATTATTGATAGATGCTTTGATGTATTACAAGATTGATTGATATTGTGTTATGTATTACAACTCCTATATATAGAAGAGAAGGTGGTAGTAGGTGTAGTGTAGTGGAGGTGGTAGGTGAAGTGATCCTCTGTTATATGACGGGGCATCACCACCTCTAATGCCCATTTTAGGGTTGTTTTGTATTGCTGTCGTTTGATGATCAAGAAATCATACAGTAAAAACTTGACAGGACTTAAAATGGATGATTTAATGGATCGATGTATATTGCACAAAAAGAATGATGAAGTGTTTATCTAATATTAATAAAAAAAAAAAAATTTTAAAAAAAGGCCCAATTAGTACACATTAATGTGTGTTTGGGAGGGGAAAGATTGAGTACACACCTAACCTTTGGCATAATGCACAAAGTGGTGGCCCTAAGACTTGAACCCATAACCTCAAGGTTATTAGGTCAAGCCTTAACTATTGAACCAATAGTCACCCCTTATCTAATATTAATAATTAATAATAAATTATAAATTGTGTTTCTAACCAAACCAAGCCTTAAGTCCCATCAAATGGGGTCGGTTACATGAATCCTTCTTCTCCACGCGGCCCTATCAAAGGCCATTTCGTTAGCCAAATTAAGTAGATCCATATCTCTATTTACAACGTTAGCCAACGTTAATCTAGGCCTACCCGGTCCCCTAACACTCCCCTCTACCGTTATAGTATCGCATCTCTTCACTACTGCCTTTGTTGGTCTCCGTTGAATGTGATCAAACCATCTCAATCGATTCTCTCTCAACGTTAGCCAACGTTATACTAAATACCTAATTAAACCCAGTTTAGTTCCCTTTGAATGGGGGTCTAGGTAGTGTGTTTCTTATATATAAAAACAAATTTTAAAAACATTCAGCAATTGTAAGATATGCAAAGCCTTCACATAAGGCAAGATGCCTGATTTATCTTTATCAGTTGGAACAAATGCTTCAATTCCCAGTTACAAAATTCCAACTTATGAAATTTTAGATTTGGTTTAAAAATAAAGTGAATTCCCATAGGCCAATATATTGTAAATAATGTTTCCAAGTATTGATTACTTATTTACTGTTCTAAATGTAAAGTTGTCTCAAAATCAGGTTAAAATGCCATGGTTGAATTTTTTTTTTCCTGATTTTTATTGATCTTCCAGGACTTGGAGCTTCTGAGGAGAATTGCTGGGTGCCAGGAGTTAGTGGCCCGAGAAAACTTTGAGAAGATGTGGTGTTGGCTATACCCAGTAGCTTTTACATTATCAAGACACTGGGTAAATGCAATGTGGAATTCTGCATCTCCTAAGTGGATAGAAGGATTTATTACAAAGGAAGAAGCAGAGTCTTCACTTCAAGGTCTTGGGGGTCTTCAAGATCCTGGGACATTTGTACTGCGGTTTCCTACTTCAAGGAGCTGGCCCCACCCAGATGCTGGTAACTTGGTTGTGACTTACATTGGTAGTGATTATAACATTCACCACAAGTTGCTGTCACTTGATTTCATTTTCAGGTGCGTACTTAATTCTTTTTTCTTTATTTTTGTTTGCAATTACATGATGATGATATAATGATCTTGGGTTAGAATTTCTTGCTCTGGTTTAAACATGTAGTTGGGCCTGAAGAAGGAACTGAACAATCATGGTTTAGCAAATGATGATTAAGAGAGTGAAGTTAGGTTTACTTACCGAAGGGTGGAAGAAAGTGGGCCAAGAAATTGGGGGGGGGGGGGGGGGGGGGGGGGGGAACTCAACCCCTGGGTGGAATGCCCCCAGAGTTTGAGGTAGGGACCAAGAGAATAGCTTGACTACTACAAGAAACTTAGAGAAATTTTAAGTTTTATCAAAATTCTTCTCATTTTTTGATGAGGGAAAAGTTGGGTGTGATTGTTAGGAATTCCTGTTGAAGAACCTTAACCTTTTAGGAGACTAAACAAACCAAGGAATCCTAAATGACAAAGAAAATGACAAAATATGTTGGTTGTATTTTCATCTAGTTACAGTGCTACAGAATTTGTCTGATACAGCAGATTTTTTCAATTGGAAAATTTGGTCATCTAGTTATTATCCCGCACCAGATGAGTGTGAGGTCCATGAGCCTTTTTGAGGACTGGGTGTTAAAACCACAGTCCATTAAATAAAGTGAAAAGGCTGATTAGGTTCACTTGAGAGCTTGAACACCTAATCTTTTGCCCTTGAGGTCTTCAATTGGTCCTTTTGAATACATAATGAATGCGAGATGTTCCCTTGGCTGTCAAAGTGGTGTGGAGTGGTGCTTGACATATGCTGCGCCACTTAGAAAAAACAAAATTGCAAATCGAACGAAGACTTTATGTAATTGCTAATGTAAGAAGACTTTATGTAATTGGATGACCTTTGCGTTCTGTTTACTTTTGATTCCTTACAGTTTTTAGTGTATGGGGGTTAAAAAAAGGCTTAAGTAAATTTATACCAGAACAGGAGCACTCTCATTAGAATTACAACATAAACTTGTGGAGTGTGCTTAGAGTCTGGAGCCAGGACTGATCTACTTAAACATGTAGAGTCAATTTGGGCTAGTTGAGATCAATCATTCCATAATTTTATGAAGATCCCCACACTTATTCTTCCATCACATGTAAATTTTAAATACAGCTGAATAGTAACATGGGTTAGGAAGGATAAGGTTTTAAGTTAGAATAGAGTTCTTGATCTTTTTAAGTCATGATCCAGCTGGGTTGTTCACTATAAATGAAATCTCTTCAATTGGATATATTTGTATATTGGATGTTGTGTTTAAGCACTTCTATTGGCTTTTCTTGTCTTGTTACTCATACCGGTAGCGGGCATACAAAAGCTTACATTAACAAGCAAGGTTATTTTACAGAATGACAAACACTAATTCAAAACATACAGTTCTCGTATCTTTTAAAAGATCTGAATGTGATGTGCACGACATTGGGTATTTTTAACAGTGAGGGTAATATGTCGTAACAATTGGGTTGTCAGTTTATTGTGACACCGTGGTGGGCATATGCAAACACTGTAGATGGATTCTTGTAGTGAGATATGGAACTAAGAATGTGACAATTAAACCAGATTTGGGAAACCACAAAGAAGGTTGGGCGAGATGCATGGTATGATGGAATTAATTCATGAAAACTAATATAAGGAGGTATAATTCAACCTTAAATTGGTGACAATGTATGTTCCATGCCTGCAGTATAGCAATGTGTGGATGCTTACACCTAGAACAAACACACATGTACTATTCATGAATAAAAAAGGAAAAGAAAATTATTGTGGTAATTTTCTTTTTCGTTGCTTTATAATTCTCCATATTGTCTTATGTTCCCTGCTTTTTCGTAACTAACGAAGGATATGCTATTCGACTTACTGTTGCATTAGTAATTTTAATTTGTGTGAGTGATTCAAATAGAAACCTTTTCTTTCTGCCCTTGTAGTTCTGGGGAAAAGGAATTGAATTCAATACTATTGCAAGATATGCTACTTGCAGAGCCTGAGCTCTCCCGACTGGGCAGGCAAGATATCTGACAATTCTACATTTTATTCTCCATCAATTGAACTAAATATTGTTAATATAATTCTTAATTATTCATAATTTCACAAAAATGCAGGGTTATTAGAAGTCACTAGGTTGCTTGCTGCATAGTTGATGTATATCCTTTTCCGGGAAAAAGAAGTGACTTTTTCGAGCATCAGTTTTCTTATTGGTTCCTTCCATTTTCTTCTATTGGGGTTTGGCTTTGTATATGTGTTCTAATGTATATTATTATTCTCTTTATATTTAAATAACCGAAATATCTACTATGGGAATCCTTATGGCTTTCCTTTTGAGACACTTTACAGACAGCTGTGAGAATGTAGAGGCAACCTTATTAACTTTGATTTTAATTATAATTAAATTAATCTGGATGTGATCTTGAATCACATGAATTTCGGATATCATACATGTGGGCATATGATTGTTAAGAAGCATAAAGTTTTTTAAGGCCTAATCCTGATTACAACAACATAAACAAAGTCTAGGATGGGCGATAGGGATGATGCAAAGCTCATGATTGCTGTAGGTTGGCTTAACCTAGCGTAGTCTACCAATTTTAGTTGCTGCTTTAGAGTGATAATATTTGGCATAGTACACTTTAATTGATTTTGTTACGAGTCATATCCTCAAATTTAAGATCTAAACTCTCATTTCAAAAAAAAAAAAATTAAGATCTGAACTTAGATACTAGATTGTATCGGTGCATGTGTGCATGGGTACACGTATGTCCAGGGAATTGGGCAACCTGTATTGAATGGATCTTTGTGTAATGACATACGCTGCAGTTAAAGAAGAGGAAGAACCAAGATCGATCATTGATGCTACTGTCAACTGATAAATGCCACTTCTTGGACCTTGAAGCTGGCAGTCGTGGTAACTCCTTTTATAAAATTTCATATTACATCCTTCTCTGCTTCAACTTCATTCCCTGTTTTCACCTTAGTGTACTTGTTTGTGTTCTTATGGCTTGGAACTCTGTCCAAAGAGACCGGAGTCCATTTTATCATCAATAATTCCCCCAGGATCACCAATTTTATACTTCATTGAGTTGTCATCTTCATCGTCGTAGTCACCATAATGGTCTTCTTTCTCCTAGGGCAAAGCATCAAGGACATTGATTTGGTATAAACAGTTCCGATTCATAGCTCAAAATTCGAAGGCTCGAATTTGGCTCGACACCAAAACGACGTCGTTTTGGTGTCTTTTTCTTTTTTCTTTTTCTTTTTTTCGTGTGTTTTCTAAAGATGAACAAGAAGAAGAAGAAGAGAAGAAGAAGGAGAAGGAGCTGGGTCTGGCTGCTGGGTTCATCCACAAATTTTTTTTTTCCTTCATCTTCAATCCAGATCAACATCAACAACAATCCAAATCACCCAAGCAGAGAGAGAGAGATTAACACACAGAAAAAATTAAACCAAATCAAACCCAAATCACCAGATCATCAAATTGTAAACAATCCAGTAAATGCACATGAATTTCTTCAAATCAAACCCAAATCAAACCCAAAAATTGATTTGGTGACTGTAAACAATAAGTTGTTTGTAAATTGTAAACAATCCAGTAACCCAATCCATGTCCAATAAGATGAATTTCTTCAAATCAAACCCAAATCAATTTACAATCCAGTAACCAAATCAAACCCAAATCAAACAAAAACCAAACCCAAATCACCTAACACAAAAAAAAGAAAAAAAGAAAAGAAAAAGAAATCAACAACATATATATACTGCAGATCATCATCATCATCATCATCAACAACACCAAAAATTTCTGCCGATCGGGCCAATCGAGCCTCGGATACAAAGAGAAAGAAGAGAAAAAATTTCTGCAGATCGGGCCAATCCTCCTCTTCATCGCCTCACTTCATCTCCTCAATCCTCCTCTTCTTCGAAGACCTCCTCTTCTTCGAAGACCAAAAATTTCTCAATCATCAACAACACCAAAAGGCTTCAGTTCGTCGTGGTTCGTCGTGGTTCGTCGTCCTCCGTCCTTCGTCGTGGTTCAAACTCCTTCAAGAGACAAGTGAGAGAGGCGAGAGTGAAGAGGTAGAGAGGAGAGAGAGATGAGGCGACAGTGAGAGAGAGGTTTGTTGAGAGTGAGAGAGGTGAGAGAGACGAGAGGGAACTGCTAAGAAGAGTGAGAGAGGTGAGAGAGGCGAGAGTGATCTGCTAGAGGGGAAAAGATCGAGAGGAGGGAGAAATTTCAACTTTCGAGCCATTCGAGCCCAAAACATTTGAGCTACCAGTCATTTTGCTGGTATAAATTACCAATGGTTTCATAAATCAACAACATAAACAAAGTCTAGGATAGGCGACAGGGATGATGTTGTAGGTTGGCTTAACCTAGCGTAGTCTACCAATTTTAGTTGCTGCTTTAGAGTGATAATATTTGGCATAGTACACTTGAATTGATTTTGTTACGAGTCATATCCTCAAATTTAAGATCTAAACTCTCATTTCAAAAAAAAAAAAAAATTAAGATCTGAACTTAGATACTAGATTGTATCAGTGCATGTGTGCATGGGTACCCGTACGTCCAGGGAATTGGGCAACCTGTATTGAATGGATCTTTGTGTAATGACATACGCTGCAGTTAAAGAAGAGGAAGAACCAAGATCGATCATTGATGCTACTGTCAACTGATACATGCCACTTCTTGGACCTTGAAGCTGGCAGTAGTGGTAACTCCTTTTATAAAATTTCATATTACATCCTTCTCTGCTTCAACTTCATTCCCTGTTTTCACCATAGTTTACTTGTTTGTGTTCTTATGGCTTGGAACTCTATTCAAAGAGACCGGAGTCCATTTTATCATCAATAATTCCCCCAGGATCACCAATTTTATACTTCATTGAGTTGTCATCTTCATCGTCGTAGTCACCATAATGGTCTTCTTTCTCCTAGGGCAAAGCATCAAGGACATTGATTTGGTATAAATTACCAATGGTTTCATAAATTTGAATTTCTTGCCCACAGAACAAACCACTTTGTGACAAAGCAAAGCAAAATCCATATTTGCCAATAATCCATATCCACATATTATATAAGGAAAAGGGGATTTTTAATTTTGAGAACTCTAGGAGTTTCAAAACTCCAATCCAATAATGTTGATTTTTGTTATTTTTTAAAAAGAGAAAAATATTATTGGCTATTAAAAATTGAAATTTAAAGTTTAAAATTTAAATATCATTGGCTATTGAATTCACCTATGATTTAGGAATTTAAATTCCAAAATTTTATACCTAATGATATACACATACTTTAAGGAATTGTTTTTCACAACAAAAATATACTATATGATCAAAACAGATTTTTGTCAACCGTTAATTTATTCACCGTTCATTTTTTTTTTATACAAAACTGATTTGATCACATAGCTATCGATATCCGATTAACTTGATTTTTTACAGGCATATAGTACTTGACGAGTTCTACACATTGAACGGTTCAGATTATCAAAACGGGACTCGTGGTGGGCCTTCACGGGCCCAACAGCACGGTCCAGTCCAATTAAAGGACTGGACAGAAGCCATGCCCATTAAGTAAAATGATATTTTCAATCACATGTTGCTCTTTGGTTTATCCAATCTTAAAAAAAAAAGGTAAAAAAATCACAGTTTGCTCAAGCCCTCACCAAATTAAAAAAATATATAACTCAATTCTTAAAAAATTTCGAGTTATGCTCAAGTTTATTACTCTAGCAAAGAGGGATGAAGTTACATAATTGAGTTAGTGACAACTTAAAAGTTGACACATAAAATGCATGCCATTATAGTAAAATTGTGAGCCATGTTTGGGAAAAAGTCACTGCAAGTTGTCAATTGATTATCTATGAAAAACCTAAGTGATTCGTGATTTGGACCAGAATTAATCACAACAATTCCTAAACAAATAAAACTAACAATCTAAATCATCTAACACGTACGAAAGTGATTTAGATTGTTGCTTCAAAAATAATAAATCGACACAATCAATTTTTACGTGGAAAAACCACAATTGGAGCATCTCCAATTGTGATTAAAAAACCACGGGCGAAACGCTACTAAACAATCCACTATGAAAGACGGAAAGAATACAAAAAACACCAAACAAATTACCCAAACTTTATCCATTTGTCTTTAACAATCTGTATCTCTTTCACTGCTGCCTTCATCTCGGAATTGCTCAGTTTGATATTGAATCCACAACATCCATGTCGAGTTAACGACCACGCACAGCTTCAAACTCCTTCGAACACTCTACGCTTGAATGTCCATAGTCCACCAAAGAACAAAACTCTTGTATTGATAAAAAAACAGACTGACAACCCTTTGATTTAACTCTCTTAATCCATGAATAAACTCACAAAGAAATCAAAGGAAAACTAGCATAGAACCTTCTGAAGAAAATCCTAGAACCCCAAAAATAATATTTAGAAGTCGTACCCTAAAAACTGATGAAAACGCAGATTTATAACAAACAGATCCGCGATCACCGCTCGAGCACAGGAATGGTCGCTTGAGCGAAGTGACTAAAACGCGTGTTTCTGGACAAGGTTTACGCTTGAACGCTGGAACTTACGCTTGAGCGTGAAAACACGCCTCTTAGTACTTTTGCAAACAAGCCTAATTACTGAGAGTAAGAGATTTCCGCTCAAGCACAACTTTCCCCGCTTGAGACCAAACAAGGAAAAATTACAACTCGATGAATCCAAGTTTGTTCGCGGAATTGGCAACAAGCAGGGACCTAACAATCTCCTTCTTTGTCAATTCCCGGACAAAACTCTAACAATTTTTTTTAACACACACGCACTAGACACACAACCTAACAAAAACAAACTCTCTAAAGCAAACTGGTTTAGACATATCTTGAACAACCCACCTGTTAAAAAAAACACCAACTAAAACTGTGGAAATAGGAGATGAATATAAACAAATCCAAATATATCAAAAACATCCAATATTCCAATATCCATATCTATCCAATAACTAGAACTATCAATGTCTAGGCCAAAAAACAAATATCCCCTGTGAGAGTGTCCAGTTGTCACGTCCCAAACCCGCCCCTTAAGGTTTAGCGACGTAACCGGCTAGTAATCCTGGGATTACCAAAGGGCTCTTAACAGAATAACAAAATATAAGGGGTTGCGAAAGCAAGCACACAAAATACAAGGTCCATAGAACTGTGAAGACGTACATGAGACAAATAAGTTTAAACTTATATAATATCAAATTTCCATAAGACTTGTATCACCATACATAATGTCATGAGGGACTTAGCCCAACGTACAGATAAGCAAAACAACCAACAAAAACATCTTCACGAGGTTCACAAAACTTGACTTCTTAAAAGGGAACCTCCTCGGGAGGCACAGTGGTTGGCTGACTCAAAAATACTCCAGGCAGCAACTTAGGCCTGGTCACGCGCTT